GGCCCCACCCTGACACTGACACCCGGGGTAAATTCATAAATAACCCATCATTTTTTAGGAATATTTAAAAGCAAAAAATGGTTATTGTAGGTTATCCTTGAAAGATAGGCATATGCCATCGCGGACTTTTTGTAAATATATTAAGGGGTACAATCCCACCATACTTTGTTTTGTTATAAGTCAGAAAGTTTCCAATCGGCTAGTTTTTCGAGTTTTTCACGAACAGACAGACGGATAGACTCGGCGGGGAATTTTAATTACTAGTTGATTAATGAATGAAAAAAATGAAATGTTCAAATGGAATTTCAAAATCAAAGGTAAAAGTTTATTTTTTTGAATTGGTAGCATTAATAACTTTTAAAATATCTATTTTTCCCAACCACCATTCATCAATTTAATAAAAATGACAACTGTAAACTTATTACATGTATCCATATGAAGATAATACGTTCTTTTCGATTGTCCGCTTTTATTACAAACAATCATTCAAGATAACCGTCATCTAATTGATATTTTCTTAGTTGGTTATTAAAGACATTATTTATAAGTAAGTGACCAATTTAGAAACTAATAATTTTGTCTAATTTGTTTGTCATTTGAAATAAGCCACTTCAATAGTTTACTTCTCAAAGAGTCATCGTGACATTGATTGGACATTCTGGAAAACTATTTATTTAGTCCTTATTAATTTAATGATATATCATTATAACTAAACTTCCCATGTTAAACGTCTTAATTGCACTGATATTATTTCGAATTAGCTTGTTCCCCGCAACTTCGCTTACGCGATTATACCTGTGTATAATGTAGCTTCCCATAGTAGACCTATAGTATAATATAATAGTAGACCTATGTAGAAGAAATTTAAAATCGGTCCAGTAGTTTCGGAGCCTATTTAATATAAAGAAAAAAACAATCAAATCAATTTTTCAATGCAGGCAATGCAATGCAATTTGCAATGCAGGTATAAAAAAATTATACATCCTTTTACAGCCCTCTAGTTAGAATGTGTCGCACATTTAATGAGATTCCCCGTAGCAGCAAAGACCCTGAATCGACTAGATATAAAAAGATTATCACTGACTTCTTTAAAGACCAGGTATCTTCACCTACGAAATAATCCCTTTTTATAAGTCATGGGATAGAATAAGTTAGTTTTTATTGCTAGGACTGTAAAGATTTCCTCTGTTGTTAGTTGATCATGCTGTGTACACTAATATTGGATTGTCCAGTCTAAATTATCTAATATATTTGTCGAAGTCATGTGTTGACTGTAATCTGTAAGTGTACCTAATTTAAATTAAAAAAATAAAATAGAAAATTCCACCTGCGGCTTCGCCTTCGTTGAGTATGTGGTTTTCAAACTCCTATCCCCTATTTAACCCTCTAAAACGCGGAAAAGCTTTCTTAGCGAACTCCTTTGTTATAAAAACTATTACAGTACCAAATTTTTCGCTTGAACCAACCGTCTTCTAATTGTTTCACTGCGCGTTGACACATCAGACAAACATCGTTGACTTTTTGAATAATGTTTTCACACTTTAACTGTGAAAGATGAATGAAAATAGTATTAGACTATGGTGAGAACATAGAATAGTTAGGTATATCTCGTAAATCATCCAACAAAGTAGTAAAAACAGGTGTAGCAGTATGTATGCGGAGTTATTCACTTATTATTAGATACTACGTATACTTTTGGATACGAGTAAGTATTACCTTTTCACGTTAAAACCTATTTAAATAGTTTTTATAATGCCTAATTAAAAATAAAGGAGGCTTGATGACGGAACTCGATAATCGAAAGCTGGTTAGCGCGTTATGTCTGCTATGCGGAACTTTCGCTGCGGCCGGTCATAGGAATGGGTGATGTAAAATTTATTATATCCTCGGTGCTTCGGAAGGCACGTTAAGCCGTTGGTTCCAGCTGCACCTGCAGTCACTAACACCCACCAATCCGAACTGGGCCAGCATCGTAGGTTATATTCCGTTCTCCCTATTCGATTCCACTCACATCGAAGGCCTGATCTATAGTAATAAGCTAAATATTGAAAATCTACGCCGGCGAAATAATGGTCAAAAGCTAGTTTTAATAAAACTTATAAACGGACTTTATTTATAAATGTTTTGTCATGTTTGTTTATTAACTTTCGTGTTGGTTTGGACATGTGTTAAACGAAAAATGGACAAAGGATGGGAAAATGAAAATGGATATTTTGTTACATATTTAATTGTTACCCATCCTTTGCAGGCTCCGTTCTCATTAGACCCAAGCAAAAGTTGATTTATTCGTGATTAAAGTGGACCGAAATATAATATTTTGCTTAAAGCATCGTGTAAATTTTCTTTTTTTAACAAGTTTTATTTTACCTTACCATTTACCCCTTAAATATTTGTTTTCTTTTCCTTCAACGTAAAAAGGAGGTCGACGAATTCATTCAGTCTTAGTCGCTTCATATTGAAGGCCCTTGAATACTTTAGTCAGGTAGTTCTTGAAGAAATCGTTCAATATGAGCGAAGGTTTTTAATTCTAGCGTATAGAAAATATATGGCCAAATATATTGAGTTACGTTTAGAAATTCTTCTTGTGTACACCTCAAATATCACGTTTCCGATATGAAGGAAAGGGTTGAATTCGGGATCTTTCCCAGTGTCAATGTGTTCTCGAAACGCGCAAAATCATATGCAGGTCATAGTGAATCTTGCTATGACATCTCTAATTTCGAATTTGTTCTGCAATTCGATTTCTTAGTCGATGATTTTTTCGAAATCTACGGCACATTTCTCGATGTGATGGAACATGTTCTTCATTATAGCTGACGAATAAAGTGGTGTTAAATTTTGACGGCTCACTTTCCATTTGTCGCCGGCATCAAAAAAAAGGTTTTGGATGATAATCTCCTTGTACATATAGGTTGTCGCCTCCCTCCCGTTAAAGTAATAGAAATCTTTCATTGTGACCAGCTTGACGAACTCAGGATAATGTAATGCACCAACGTAAGGCTCCTTGTATTAAATGCCTTTTTTTTTATCCTGACGGAAACTGACCTTAATATGCCGTCGACCTGGGCGAAAGGCCGACTGAACCCGGGCTCTCCCACTGCAAGGGACGGCGGTCCAGTGCAGTGGGCATTCCGTGCAAAACCCCCCGTAATACCCTCTCTCTTGGTCTGGCACCTGGTATCTTAAAATAAGTCTCAGGTGTTGTACTACATTGCCTAGGAATTTCTTCAAAAGTAAATATTGGCTATAATTGCCGACTATTGATTTACCTTTCGCTTCTCCCAAGCGATTAATAAAAATAAAATTTGCAATTAGTATCTTACAAAAATATACTCTAAATAAAAATACTTTAACGTCCTAAGACTGGTATGATTGCATTTATAACCATACCAGTCTTAGGTAATGGGGATAATATTTCGAACCGTTGTAGATTATTTTGCTAAATTATCTACTGATTAAGAAGGTGACATTTTTGTAAGTATCGATTAGAATTGCCACCCGTTCCAGTGCTAACTAGTTGCTATATATATATATTAATGTAGATGAAATCAATCATTAAAGTATAGCTCATTTAGCTAATAAGCAATAATATTTCCAATACAACAGACAACATTTTGAGAAAACGGCGTCTGACGATGTATTTATAACTTGTTTTATGTAAAAATATTTTTTTTCCATAGAGTTCAATCTTAAAATAAAACATTAGCCAATCAAAACGAATTAAAAATATACATATATTTGTACTAATATATTTTAAGAACAACATAAAACCCATAAATACAATAAACTTTTTTCAGACAGCAAATCAGCATGGAAGGGTTTAATATTCATTTGCAAAAATGATACACTAATATAACTCTTCTTAGCATCTTATTAATATTTTGAATATGTGCACTCAATAAAACAATAACTAATGATAATGTCTTTATTTTAAGCTTAACATAACTAATATTACAATTAAATATAAACAATCATATAAATTGAAAACATAAATAAATCTATAAAATACACATCGACGTATCATATCGATGAATCAAATAAAAAATCAACTTCTATGCTACAACCGTATATAACCTATATTATGTCGTGGCCCAATCGTTGAATTGGGCCGATAGAGAGCTGCCCGGGCATATCACGATAGGCCCGGTTATAATTTGAGCCTATCGATGAGAGCAACGTATTTGTAGATTTGCCCAACTAATCATTTGGACACATCGTGATATGAAAGGGCACATAATTCCATTCCGCGTCACTGGTAGCGCTGTAACGCTATCCGCTGTATACCTATTTACTAAGCTGTGAAAATATTATAATAAGGAATGAAATATTGTGATTCTATGTTGTACATACTTTATTTGTGTTTAAATTTGAGATAATTTTGGAACGCTGAACACTTTTTTAGTAAATGTAGTAAAAACAATTATAACAGCCTTTTTATTTAGTGAAATTATTATTATTTTATTTGCTTACATACTGAGATGGGTGGTAGAAGATATCGACAAAATTGTCTTTAATTATATTTTAATGGATTCAAAAAAAGTCCTTTTCCGTTCTGTGTCAAGATTTAACAAGAGTTATTCTACAATAACTTGTCATAATTATAGTTTTAAATAAAGAAATATTTGGTCACGCAATATTCTATCTCTGTCATTCACATCGACAGATACTGAGATTTTGGTCTGCTTTTAAGATGAGGATTTTCCAGTATTAAGCACACTGTTAATATGTGGTGAAAGATACTACCAGCTAGCGATCCCTTTATAAATATTCTTGAGTAAAATTCGTAAAATATCAACATTGAAGAATAATAAATCTTTTTAGTGTTGCTTAAATAAATCATAGCAGATAAGTACATATCTAATCGGTTCAAGAACTTATTTGTCATCTCTCTAATATACACCATGCCTTATTCAGTTTAAATAATAAGTAAAGTCGTGTGTAGAAGAAACTAAATAGAGTCGTAAAATTCTACTTTCTAATTGTAACGAAACAATTGCTGTAGTGAAGTTCCACAGCGTCTACCTGTTCAGCCGTTACATTTAATGTTTCACTCAGACATTCTCAATTCAGACTCCCTCTCTAGGGGTCAACTTGAGATAGATACCATTGTAGACCTGCGTGACGAAGGACCGGGGGTTAAACTCTGGTACAGTTGGCATACCTTCAGCTAACTCCACGTTGTATTTCTTTAGTAACGTCACTAAACCAGCCATCATCTGCATCTTAGCGAACCTCATACCTAATGACAAAATAAATTAGTGTTAGAAAATTATACAAGTCAATGTCTCGTAACAGTTTCACTAACAGAATAATAGATAAGATTCCTATGTAAGCTAATTTGAAAATCTAATAATATATTCGTTAGGTTGGGGTTTATGATAGATGTTAAATAATCATGGTCTGATTTAAATATTCAACTAGTCAATAACACCTAGACTATATAGTGTCATTAGCTTTATTTTTATTTTAGATAAAGCATATTTCAAAAGGTAATAAAGGTTTTCTAATCTCATGCTGTAACAGCTTCGTGTGCGACGCTATATTTTTTAACAGATTAGCAAATCGGGACTCGATTGATCAGTAGAAAAAAATGTAGTTTATTTATGTACTTACCCTTTTAAATAATGAGAGGTAAGAGATAAGCCACACAAATAAATTTTTATGTGGTTTAAAATTACTAAAACAAATTATTAAATTTGTTTGCAGGATTAGTACTTTGAAATTGAAATTGTAACTTCTAGAGGGCGACCTTTCGCTTATTTTCTAAGTTAATTAATTGATGTTTCAAGGTTAAGACTTAAGACTGAAATAAGCTTAATTAATTAGTCTCCGGGGATAGAATTCTCTAGGTATAGATGTTTACGTTAAAATACATTTTCGCTACTAGTGAGCGTATTTTCCCAAACCCAAACAGCCGAGAGAAATATTTTTTAAATATTTTAAAACTTGGAATGTAATCAAAATGTTGTCTTGTTTTAATCAAAATTGTTTGCATTCACAATGCTATACTCATTTCAAATATATACCTATATAGCGTAGTGGTATGCCACAACAGTTTATTTTGTATTGATCAGTGGCATACGTCTACGCTGTTCTTTGGTTATAATACTCAATATACGTTATCGCAATTATAATACTCAATACTCAAATGTTTATTGCAAACCATAGTGTTATATAGATGTTACAAAATAATAATATCAGAATCAAACTATGGACCCTGTCGGGCACAGCAACACTTTAGAGAGAGGAAGACTTCATATCAAAATATTTAATAATAATCATAATTCTACAACATCAAAGACAAAATAAAATATTATAAAATAATAAGTTAATTAATTATTATTAAGCGTCATATAATGATATTAATAATATAAGATACATATCGCACCCCCGGTGCGACACTGTCACTTTTGCAAAAAATACAAAGATTAGTTAAATATGTAATAATTGTCCTTAAGCCCCCTTTACTTGGTGCGATAAAGTTACTTTTGTAGATGAATCATATGGAACTATGTTCCGATGATTCATCTCATCTGTATCTTCTAAAGTCATTGTTTTGTGAGGTGGCAGAGTTTAAAACTCTTCTCCTGAAAAACTAAATTTTTGCATAAGTGACAGTGTCGCACCGGGAGTGCGATATATGTATAAAATAAGACAACTTTATAAATTTTATATTATTTTGCAATATTATCATTTATATAAAATTCATTGATTGATTTGTATTTAATATGGCTTTCGGCTTCGCCCGCGTGACCCCTAGGGAACTGTTTATTTGTGTATCGATTGCTGTTATCATAGTATAGTTTTTCATACATATATTGTTGGTATCTTGAACCGTTTTCGCAGCGCACGCAACGGAAGCCCTCAGGGATGAATAATTTTCCCCGTTTTTTCCACATTTTTCATTATTTCTTCGCTCCTAATAGTTGCAGCGTGATGTTATATAGCCTAAAGTCTTCCACGATAAATGGTCTATTCAACACAAAAAGAATTTTTCAATTCGAACCAGTAGTTCCTGAGATTAGCGCGTTCAAACAAACAAACTCTTCAGCTTTATAATATAAGTATAGATAATATAATATAATATTGTTGTTAAAATATAATTTGTTTCTTTAATTTAGCTAATTTATCTAAAATTTATTTGTTGAGGAATTTTAATTAAAGATTTCGTTTATATTTTATTGTCACGAAATTGCTTTTTTTACTATATAATATAGCAATTACTAAAAAATAATTTCTTGTTTCCATCTAAAGTTTTTTAATTTATTTTTTCTTAACTTACGGTTACTACTAATATGATGTATTCCCTTACAAACTTCCAGCCTCTATTTTAATAATTCACTTTGTTTTGAGTTAACTAAGATGTACCGTTTTATTTAAAATCAAATCTAAATACCAAATTTCGAGACACTTGTATAAAAAACTAATTAAAATGAATCAGTCTCTCCTACTGAGAGTTTCGTACAAATCCATTGTTTTCTGTAAAAAATACTTTTCATAGATTTTCTGTAAAGCCCTATTTCATGACTTTTTTTTTACTCTCATTAACTTGTTTCACCAATTTTGCTTTCACAATATCTTTAATGAAATTGATTTTAAGTATTTTTCATTCAAAATATTTACCGTTACTGAAATTAAAATTAATGAGATATCAAGGGCCATCGTCTTGAGCTAAAATTTCGTCTTTGTTTTGGAATATTCAACAATTTTTTTTTATATATATTTTGATTTCTCACAATAAACATTTGAGTAACAAGTTTAAGCTCAATCGGATCCGCAGTTTATTAACAAATCAGCTGTGACGAATAGACGGAACCTATAAAGGTTCCGTTTTATCCATTCAAAGGTGAGATTATTCAAACTTTATCTACATATGCCATGAACCTGACAACATATAAATGTTTAAAAAAAAGGTTAGTAGAATATTTTATAAAAGGAATGATTTCTACACTTACCAATGCAAATTCTATTGCCATCTCCGAAGGGTATATATGAGTGTGGTACAATTTTATGTTTCTCCTCTGGTAAGAATCTCTCTGGACGAAATTGCTCTGGTTCCGGGAAATATTCAGCGTTATGATGCAAATGATAAACTGGAATATGAATCCGTACACCTTTGTCTAATTTCAATCCAGTAGGGAAAGTGTATTCATCCATCACCTCCCTAGTGATCACTGCAAGCACCGGGTAGAGGCGTAGAGCCTCATCCACACAAGCCTCGGTATAAGGAAGTTCTGTTACGCAGTCGTATATCAATTTGTTATCATGCCTTCTTAGAAAATCATCAACCTCTTCTTGCGCCTTCATTAAAGCGTCAGGATGCTTGGCCAACTCCAAAAGAGTGTAACTCAACGTTGTAGCTGACGTTTCAAAACCAGCAGCAAAGAAAATGAAGCATTGAGCTATCATAAAATCGTCTGTAACTGGTAATTGAATCTTTTTCCCAATTCCTAATTTTTTGTTTGAGAAACAGTCACCGACTAAATATTCCTTTTCCTTCAACATCAAAAGGAGGTCGACGAAGTCATTCCTTTTTGTGGCTTTATATTCACGACCAACAAAGACTTTAGTCAAGAAGTTTTTAAAAAAAGAACTCACTTCTGGCGGGGAAGATTTTAATCCTAGTGCATAGAAAATATATGGCCAAATCGCTCGAGTTACATTTAGTAAACCTCTGGATGTAGACACTTCAAATATCACTTTACCGATTTGAAGGAAAGGGTTGGATTCGGGTTTTTTTCCCAACGTATCAATGTCTACTCCAAACGCGCAAGAGCAAATGCAGGCCATAGTGAACCTGGACATGAGATCTCTAATTTCGAATTTGTTCCGTGATTTCGTTTCTGCGTCGATTAGTTTTTCGAATTCTACGGCACACTGCTCGATAAGATGGAACATGTTCCTCATTTTCGCTGACGAAAATAGTGGCGTTAAATTTTGACGGCTCACTTTCCACTTGTCGCCAGCTTCGAAAAACAGATTCTGTGTGACGGTCTCCTTGTAATTGTAGTTGGTCACCTCCCTCCCGTGAAAGTAGTAAAAATCTTTCGTGGTGACCAGCTTAACGAACTCAGGATCTTGCAAGATGAGAACTGGTTCTGTGCCGTAATATGCACCAACGTAAGGCTCGTTAGGGAATTTCTTTAAAATATCTTGTACAACATTGCCAATGTACTTCTTAAAAAATAAATATTCGCCATAATTGCCGACTATCGCTGTGGGCTTTAAGTGTGGTACCTTACGCTTCTCCCAATAATCAAATTTACGCCTTGATATATATAATACAGTTACAAGGACTGCGATTAATAAAGACAAAACCACCATTAATAACATAGTGTCGAAGTTAGTATCTAACTGAATATATTGTGATATTAACGGCCACACTCTATTTATACATTCGTAAAAGCTAGTCACCACTTCGCAAGATAACGTCGGACAATGAAAAATATTTCTCTATCTAATGGTGTTTTATAACAGTAGATGATCACACTTCGTGTGTTTTAATTATTTATTATAAATCCATACAGGTTTATTTTACTTTTTATTATATGATCGAGCTGGTTAATATTGTAAACATGACACAGGAAATATTATTAATATAGGTACTATTGGCAATGCAAATGAACGTTAACTGTTTAAGACCTCCACAATCCGTATTTAAGTAGATACAGGTAAGGAAATTTAATGTTTAATTTTAAATAAGCAACGATAGAGACAATTTGACGCACCTGAAGGAGTTGAATATTATATTGAAAAAAAAAAGTTGTCATTTCAAACACATACTAAATAAACACATATATCTGGGGTTGGGGAAAGGACCCGGGATCCGGCACGGAGTCTGCCGGGTCAGCCTACCACTTAAACGGCATCATATATATTTTTTGGTACGTTTAACTTAGTCAAAACGATGGTCACCCTTGTTTTGATAAGTCTTAAATTTTGCAGAGTCATCGTAATATACAAATAACATGGCTTCGCAACCAATTTGCAAAGGCCCCCAGGCAGGTGATGGGGTCAAAATAGAAATATAACCATCACAACGTACAGTCTGCGATTGCGGAAGTAAAGCGACTCTCGATAAGGCCGGACAATGGATGGGTGATCCAAAATTTTATTATTAAAGCCGAAGTAAATTTTTGTTGCGTGTCACATCACAAATAATGAGATAGAATATATCTATATTTAATGTTTTAAGTACACATGTCACCTGCAAGTGGATTGCAATATGTAGACTTAATAGATTAATTATTAAAATAGTAAATATATTTTTATAATTTATCAATGTTGTATTGACAACGCTATACTGAAAAATATTTTTAATGAATAATGCTTTAAATATCGAAATGGATCTAACAGTTATTTGATGAAACAAATAAATAACTAGGACGTTCACATCATCATTAATTAAATTATTCAAAACAATATCTATAACCCAGTTGATAACCAAGTTTCGTTTTATAAAGATGATTATAAAAGTCGCAAGTCATCGTGACGAAGCAATACAACAGGCTATTTTGGTGTATCATTATGTTTAGACTAAGCGGTCGCCGCGGATGTAGCTTAAATGATACCGACATTAAAAAGCGTAAATAATAAAAGTCTTCGCTGGTAAGCAAACACGTAGTAACCCGCAAAACCAAAATTGTTCTTCAGAGCAGAAAAACTTTTATTTTTTTCTATAAATAATTCCTATAAACGTCCATGGTGACAAATAAGGTGTTCCTTAATGAGATTTTTTTTTTTAAATATAAAGATTTTTCACTTTAAATATCCATTTTGGTTTTACAAGTTACTACGTGTTTGCTTTCTAGCGAAGTGTAAATTAATCTAAAAAATTCATTGACAATGCATTACGTATTCTGGCACGTGATCGTTGTCTTTAAGCAACTTTAGCTAGGGTCGGTCACGGGATGGGTGACTAAAAAATTATTATCTCGAGCTACTCCGTGCTTCGGAAGGCACGATAAGCCGTTGGTCCCGGCTGCATTTGTAGTCGTTAATACCCGCCAATCTGCATTGGGGCAGCGTGGAGGGTCATGGCCCATGCTCCTTAATCATCCGTAAGGAAGGCATGATGATGATGATACGTATGGCATCGAATAGAGAAAATGATTCGTCACTTATCACGCGGCCCCAATACCGATTGATGGTTGTTAATCACTGCAAATGCAGCCGAGACCAACGGCTTAATGTGCCTTCCGAAGTACGGTCCAGCGGTAATTTTGGAGCACCCATCCGATGATCGGTCATTGCAAATTTCCGCATCGCAGACCTAACTCGCGGAGCATCGCGTGTGTGCCCTGGTCGTTCTCGTATTTATATATAACATACTCAAAATATATCTCTCGTTGAGTTCCACATCGACTGTAAGGGATAACACTGCTATTTTTTGTTACTGTCACTTTTTTAACACCAACGTAAAAAGAGTCATGTTTGACTTGTCTGAAAGACCGATTTCAGTGCCCCACTGAGAGTTAATCGAAAGCCTTGTCTTGTTTTATGACTATCGGATTAACGTTTAAAGACAGGGTATAAATTATTTTTACTAACATCATCATAGGTTAAGGCTTTTTAAATCCACAGCCTCGTTTATAAATAATACATTCCATTTATTTGGGACAAAAAGAAACAAATGTAACAAAAGAAACATTAGACTTGTCCCGAAACGGCTCCACCTTAGCATATGCTGGTCTTGTGATTAGTGCTGATCTTCCGTTGAAACCGATCTGGTAAAAACACAAACAGTAATACAACATGAAATGTAACGAATTACAAAGACAAAAATACGTATATGTGTGGAGACTTACTTATAGTCTGACTGTATGGCGAACTGAATTTCTTCGCCTGTTCCAATGGACGAAACAGAATAGCTGCCAAAGAATTGACAATCATACTTTGTCATGATTATTTTAAGATAACTATATTTTTTACCTAATGTCACCGGTCATAAGAACCTACGGTATGCATGCATTTATCAGACTTGATCGACAAAACACTCACGAGTACACTCACAATTACCACACAGCAAGGTACGCACCATTACGAGAAAAATGGATTCCAAATCTTGGAAATACGACGCACATAGGTCTTGAGTGTATCTCTTTGAAGACATTAGATGACACAAGATCTTTGCGAATAATGTAATTGCTAGATATTTAATACGTATAAACTAGCCTATAAATAAATAACAGTATGTATTTCCTTAATTTGTGTATGATAATGAAATATGCAAATCATCATATAATTTGTCAGATGAGCCGAAACTACGCCATATATTAAGAGAGCGCTCACATGACAATCACTAACTTTTAACTGGTAAACTAGATCGTAATTTGTGATGTTTTATCACAGCCAAAACGTGAATAGAAAATAATAAAAAAAAATTGTGTAACTTCTAATCATACTTTTTATGATTAGAAGTTACACAATTAGAAGTTACACAAAATGTAAAAATATTGAATTTTAGGGATTACAGGTGTGATATTTTTTTCGTATTCTGTTGCGATAAGATTTATTTTAAGGGAAAATTGATAATTATGTTAGCCACTTTGTATCCAAAACAATTATTAAGCACTTTTAGAATAGTCATAATGGTTTTCGAATAGGGATAGACTTTTTTGGCTTGAGCTCTTAAGCGACCTGTTACGCTTAACCTCCTTTAATAAAGAGTTTATGTATAATGTCTAAACAAAACTTTAAATTAATTTCAGTTTATTCTAACGTTAGTTCGTGAAATCAGAGAAATATATTAATATGTACTTTACTCATATATTAATTGTTAATTATAAAAAGCATAAACCATTTTTTTTTTTCAAAAGTTATACGAATAAATGATTAGTTTGACGTATGCCAAAAATAAACTGTAATTATAAATGATAAACGTCATTAAATTTTAAATATAAAAAACAGTTAATATCTAGGTTTCACATTCAATCTTGCACATCAGACTCCCGCGACTTCTCCCGCGTAAATTACAATCCGCGTATGATGTACCTTCCCGTAGGTGAGAGAATATACATACGAGTAAAATCGGTTCAGTTGCTTCGAAGCTTTTTCAATGCAAAAAAACAAACAATCAAATTAACGATATAATGTATATTTACTATGGGTTATCTACAGTAACCCACCTCGGTGCCTCTGATTCCTCAATGCTGAGGGCGGCAAACTCCGCTACGTATCACTTTGTTCCAGATTACGGTATGTCAATTATTCCGACTTCGTGCGGAATTCATGGCGTCTTGTATCTGGATGTATAGTGTTTTCCAGACAAGGTCTGTCCATAGAATTGGGCTGCGGCTTCTAACCCTCTTCCCGTCCACAGAGAAAGTGACCTTATAAATTGTCCCTGTTCGTCCTGGCAATGCATTTTAAGATTCCTCGAAGATATATGGTAAAGAGCGATGTTTATTATAACCCATCCGTTACTTATTATAACCCATCCGTTACTTATTATAACATATCTTTCCGTCATACGCTAGACTCTCAACGGATTGTTTGTAAGATATACCGTGAGTGCCGACCCTAACTTATTTGTCAAATGCTTAGGGATTTGGTGACTGTGCATATATTTATTATGGATACAATATTGCCCAATGACAAATAATGTTGATAAGCTTTTTTAAAACATCACTATGATAATTATAATTATCGCACTCAAATGAACTACTAATGCGTAGATACGTAAACGTAACTAAACAACATTAGACATTACATAAAATATTATATCAATTACAATGAATAACCGAAATCACACACTTCAAGGTCCTCAATCGTCACCCCTTCTACGTCCCCACTGCAGAGGGCTTCTTTATGGATTGTAAAGGAGGATGGGTCATGACCTTCCACGCTGGCCCAATGCGAATCAATGCGAATTGCAATGACGGCAAATGCAGCAGGACCAACGGCTTAACGTGCCTTCCGAAGCACGAAATCATTTTTTGGTCACCCATCCCGTAACCGACCCTTGCGAAAGTTACTTAACAATAACGATCGCATGCCGCGGCGCTTATCCTCTACGCCATCGAGCTACTTTAAAAAAATAAGAAATTCCATTGTGATTGCCATTTAATAATCTACAGAAAACCTCCGCACGACTTCAATAGCATTTATAATACAAAAAAACATTAGATAACATCACTTACATTGTTCAGATTCCATGATCAGTAGCTAAAACCCCTGTATTATGGAGTATCAGAGACAACGCATACCTTCGTTGTCTTAGTGGTACCCCACAACACCTTTTACCCCACACTTTTTAAAGTTTAAAGTCGGTTCTTTTCTTTAGTTTTATATTTTTTTATATAGGTAACAGTAGAAATACTTAATAAAAAAAATATGTCAACACAGTTAAAGTCTAAGAAAAGGAGAAATTTGTCTATATACTCGATAAAAAATCCCGTTTTTACCCCTAAAAAATAATAGTTTGATTTTGCGCTGTATTTGTTCATAGACTTTGTTGTTAATAGATTAGATTCTATACCTATAATTATATAATCTAGCACCTGTACTTTAGATTTAAGTGTTTGATGTTTACTGAGTTTCCAACATTATTAACAAATATTCTTTTAAAATGTATGTTGTCGTTTTCATCAATATTGTTTCCATTCATTTCCAATGTACCCGAAAGTCTGTGATATTAGTATTATTTTTAGTACATGAAAACATAAAGGCGTCGACTGAAATTCCTAGTAAAAGGCTATCGACAAATCATTGGTTTTAATACAACACAACGATACACATTCAGACCTATTCAACACTATGTTGACGACTTCCACTTGAAACCTACACAATAGTCGACGTATCGACCGTATAGTCGCCACTCACATCCATATTCTATTCAAACATGTCATCTAAAGTGTCACGTTTGATATGTTGTCTATTGTACTATTCCTGAGACAGCTTTATAGAACGTGATGGCGCATGCGTGTTGCGAATGCGAAACTCATCCCGCACCCCTCCTCGGAACAGTAGGGTGACCAGCAATTCGAACAAATATATTTGAATTTTTTAGAGAAAGGCAAGGGTTAGTGACTAATTTATCAACGTACAACTCAAACTAGCTGAAATGTGGTACACTAATCGTTATCGATTTTAAAAATCAACACCTGATATGAAAATTGTTTAAAATCCATCAGTTTTGGAGTATTCACTTTAGCAAAAAGCTGCGAGTGGTAAGTTGGTCAGTATTAATATTGGTTAAGGCCGCATGGCTGCATAGAGATAAAATGAGACTTTTTACAAGGTGACTCTCATATTTTGACCCCATTACTATAGGGTCTAAAACAATACACTTAATGTGAAAAGAACTGGTCTAGATGGTGAATTTCTTGGTTACCTTTATAAACTCATATTCTGACACATTATGTAGTGTTCTTATTTTTATTATTTCATGTCCTTTCATTTTATATTGAATATATTTTGAACACCAAAATAATAGCAACAAATCGAAACAGAACTATCAAAGTGCAAATCTTATATTTTGTACTAGCACTTAATATAGTAGGTATTTGTATAATTCTGCAATAAGCTTATATGGTGTATAAAAAGGGCTCGATCTAAAGGGCTCTAAGTGGTTGCTCACAGCGACAAAATCAAGGGCCATCAACCGAATAGACTCCTCTATTTTCTTTCATAAAAAACCCTTACTTAGTAACCCGGAAAATGTTTTACGCAAAGAGTTTCTTTAAAATAACACCTTTTTATATTCTTGATCAGAAACTCTTGAAGATAAACCTGTCAATAATATTAGTACTAGTGGATGAGTATTAGTTTTGTTCATAACAGCTACATATCTGGATTAGACCGACTTTTAAGTACAACTCAAAAAAAAGCTAAGAACGAGATTTAAAATCGTTGTTGATCCGTCCCTAGCTTACATACAACTTGGTCACCCCAAAGAGGAATGTTCATCTATGTTTTCTCAGTGTAGCGACGCGTTTGAGGCGTTCCTTTCTGTACAAACGTAAAAAATAAAAATTTATATAATCACCACAAAATTTATCGACAATAATTACATATCTCTTAATTGTATGGATATAATCAAGGAATCAAATAGTGCAGTGATAAATAAGGTTGTGGTTATTATAAATTCATGGAATGATTCATATCTTATTTGGTTTTGAAGGTGAGATATATCTTTTCGATTTTTTCTTTTTTAGTTTAGGGTGTTAGAAAATTAAAGTCAGTTTCATCATAGCCAGATTTTAAATCATAGTATTGTATTCTATTTATAAAGACACCCAGCATCATCCACTCATCCATACTAATAAATATAATAAAAAGGAAAAATTTCATTGGTTATTTGTTTGCATCGATTAGACTCCGAAACTATTGGACCTATTTTAAAAACTGTTTTACCTACGTACGTACATACATGCTACGTCATACACGGGTGACAAGGCTGATTAACGCGGGCAAAACTGCGAGATAACAACAGCTAGTTACAAAATATTTCACGGTATCCGATGTAGGATCATTTATGATTGCAAATAAAAAACGCTGATAGACAGAAATCTAACTTACAGTCAATTGCACAGACGTCCATTAAGGTTTAATGACGCCTATAGCTATAATGAATGTCAAACTTGTATCGATAACTAATGACAATTTTAATGGGCGTTTCTACATTGGCCGTGAAAGTATCCAAGTGTAAGTGCTAAGCTTAAACTAATGCCAATTTTAATGGGCGTTTGTGCAACATCTAAGGGCTATCTTGTTAAAAATACAGAGCCGAATACAGCGCTATCGCATCATTAGAAGTTTAATATCAAATAAAACCTTTATTACCTTTTGAGATACGTACAGCGTATCGGAATTACGGAATAGGAAAGATCATAAAAAAAGATAGAGTATTTTTTTTTGTCCTAAAAAATAAATTTACTACTTATATAGTTGCTCTTCTTTCTGGCATATTTAGGACAAAACAAAATACTTATAATATTTTTTACTATGACCTTTATTGTGCTGACTATTTACGACATAATATGTATGAGTTCATAAGAATAATATTAATTGCGCGTACAGGGCGAATAATAGACCTATAGACAAATAATTTTCTACTAACTGTTCTGTTCATAAGGCAACATTTTGCCATTCTTGAAATTTTTATTGGGTATTTTTGTATTCTATACCTAACGTAACACTTCACAAAGCCTATGAAAACCTCTAAAAGCTATTACGCTTCTAGGTAGAGTTGGGTTGACTGGAGTAAGACAGACAACTTTTCACGCAACATATGTAAGTGCGGAAAATTCGAGCCCCCTAACATATTTATGTGTCATGGAAGCGCCTGAATATAGCAGATGTTTAATTTTTATAAGATGGTTAACTGTGAAAAATTATAATTTTGTCATAATCTATAATCATGTAGTTTCTAATTTAGAAAATATCAACAAATCTAATAATCACCCTGTAAGTATACGTGAAAATGTGTTTATAGATTTATTATTACTGCCTGTAATAATTCACAATTTTTAGTTATTTTTCTTTAACCTTCTAACGTCAGATATAAATAAAAAAATGTTTTGTCCATATACCTACCTGCAATTTCTACTAAGCGTAAAAATATTCAAATTTAAATGTGAAATTACAATACTGTATTTTTTTCTTTGTGAAAATGTTCTATTAACAATCCTAATAGAAGAAAAATTTGGTTGCTATGAAAACTTACCCTGAATTATAAAGTTAATTCAACGCGTTTCCACGGCGGGGTAGGTAGGCAGGAAATTATAAATAAAAAAATCTATATTATTGATGGGCGCGTCTCGTTTTCTCATTTGACTCGACTCAGCCTTAAGCTGTATATACAGAAACTATTTATGCAAACAGTAATCGGCTTATTTCCCACATATGTGCCTCATCATTTATACTGTTACCAATTAGATATTCCTATAGAGATTATTCCAAGAATTCTTGTTAAATTTCTATGTTCAAATTCACTATTATTATAATTTGCGTTTATAATATAAACATAGATTTCTGCTTTGGAATATGATTTGAAGTTTACATATTTGATATACCTAACTATACTCTGTTTTAGGGTTCTACACCCAAAGGGTAAAACTTTATTGGTAAGACTTAGCTGTCTGTATGTCAGTTAAAATTTACTTTACTTTAAAATAGCTACTAAAAACAAGAATAAAATAAATATGTAAGGAGGCTCTCATACAACAAACATGTTTGTTTTCGTCGTTTCCGCTACAGAACCCTTCATGCGCTAGTCCGGCTCGCATTTGGCTTGTTTTTTATTTAATTATATGGACTATCAGACCTCTTAAAGTGATCTTCTATCTCTTTATGTTTTATTATACAATTAGATAACGTACTTACTCATTCTTAAAAAATAATAATAACAGTCCCGACGGTTAGAATTTTACTAAGAAAAATATATGTCGCATCATCTTTACGAACATCGTTTGATTTAGTTTCTTTTATTTTAATTGCTAGTTACTTGATTACTTAATTACTCGATTGTAGAGAGAGCGTGATCATCAGAGCGCTTAGTGTAAGTTTTTTTGACGTTTACGTTCACTGTCGATCGTGAGCGCGTTAAGATTTTAGTATGGAATCCGGTACAGCGCCCCTAGCGGTAACTATCAAGAAGTACAAATCTCCATACAAAATCGTAACGCGCTCACTAGTGAACGCGTTAGCGTAAAACTTACACTTACCACTCAGTGGTCGGAATTAGGTAGAGTTATTCATGTACTTACACTGATTTCATACAGCGAAAGAAGAAAGTGGATATGCCTCAAATCCCGAGATTAATTTTAAAGAGCAGAAAAAATCCCGTGATTTTTTAAATAAAAAGTTATTTACTTTTGTACAAATTAAACTACTGCACGCACGACGTTGCCAAACTTACATCAATGAAAGAAAGAAATAAAGAAATAATTAAATAAAGGAATCCTAGGAAGGTACACATTAATATCAACATTTCGATGCAAGTATATAAATAACTCTACCTAATTCCGACCTCTGGTGATCATCGATACTTTTAATTTTATTAGAATGGTGACACTGACTTTGACAGTTAGTTAATAAAAAGCAAGTTGCCGCCATTTTGGTACACATTCCGTTTCCGATCGCCGAGGAGTAAAGACATCCCATGACTTCACTCTCATCTCGTTATATTTCCGTTTGAAAAGTGATAAAATGAAATAAATCCACGTTGGTATACACGCCTGCAGTGTTATTTTAAAGATAGACCCCTGATATGGACGATCTATTTGGGCTTCGTAATAGCCCCTTCTGACTACCCGCCGACATATACAAATTTGAAAATTTTCAAACGTTCTAACTAAAAGGAGTAATTGCGATGTTTGCAAAGTCATTATTATTTATACTGAAAAGTAATGTATGAAATGTGAAAGAATCATACATAAGTTATTTATCAATGTCTATCACTCGGACCATACTATTTTTATTTACACTAAAATGGCTAAATAGTCACCAAAGATGAGTCCAAGTTACATCCACAGTTTACATATAAATCAAAGAATAGATATTTAATATTTTCTCGGGTAAATAGTCCCTCAAGTCCGTGTTTGTTTTGCTGATTTAGCGGTAAAACGGAACCGGATCCGAACGGCTTTGATCTTTTAAAACGACGCATAAGTGATGTGCTTTATAAATCGAAATATATTTTTTATTGATAAATATATACATTATTTTTTCTCTCTCTCTGTCTACCTCACAAGGAATACGGCAAGAAGATATACAGATAGATAGAATTAAAAATGTAATTAGTTTAATATAGTTTATTACTGTTTTCTTTGCAGCAATTTTTGATATGGAAAATATGGTCTTATATAAATACAAGTATAAGTATCATGTTAAGATACAAAGGTTTTGTTTGCATTGGTGTATAATGCACATACTTATAACGTGTGAACAAACTTAATTTGATTGTGAACGGTGTCCAAGTTTATTAAATAAATTAATGAAATGGAAAATATTAAAACCTTTCAACTAATTTCACACTAAAAAACCATCACAACGACACGTGAGTTGCGACGCGAAAGTAACTGGATAAATTCAGCTTTTAATTACTATTAAAATACAATTGAAAATTGGCCAAAATTCCCTACAATAAAAATCCCGTCCAGTAAAATATTGGTATATATATTTCAAGCATATATTAACTAAATATTTTTTTTTTAATTACTGATTATGAAGATTAGGGCGGAACTGTCCTATTTTTGTAAACATTCTTTTCAAATTTATTTATTTTGGTTTATTATATTTTCACGCGCACTATTCATAATGAAACAACTTTTAAACGGTTTCATCGCGTTTGTAATTAATTTCATTGTCATTTTGGAACCTTTACAGGTTCCGTATTCACATCTTATGTTGTTTCATTTATCTATTTATTTGTCTGTAAATTATAAATGAAATAATTTTCTTATCCGTGAGACATACGGACGGACCGAATGATCCTTAAAATGAAGGAATATAATACCTCAAAAAACACCTTAAAACATTAAAGTTAATATGACAAGACAGCACGATTTCCATCGATGTCCGATGAAGAAAATTTATGTAGGAGGTTTCCGGCGGCTTGCACCACATAAACTCGAACAACGGTCCCAGCTGCCGGATTAATTTAATTTTAATGATTGTTTCTTTCTGGGACTCACCATAGATGAATGAAACAGTTCCATTGTTGAATCCAAAACCACCACAGTCAAATCAAAAAATGTTCAACGTAAAATAGTTAAAATACTATTGAATTTAAAAGGTTTCCTTCATAATAAGTTATTACTTTAAACATTTTTTCGTTTGAATTTACTTTATCGTAACAATATGTTTATTTTATTAATTTATGGATGGTCCCAGAAACTAGAAGAAAAATAACACATTCAATTAATAAACTCCAATTAATCAACTGGGACCGCGGTTAATATGTTCCCAGTCGCTCGAAACCTCTTTATAGAACTAGCTTTTTTTTATTTATACATACATTTATACATATAGCGTAAAATATAGTACACAAGAGTAAAGGTTTGATTGTTTGTTTGTTTGCATCGTATATACAGTTATGCGAGCCAGTAACAGCGAGTAGTGCGAGAGTACTCGCATGGGCAGTCTACCGGACCTGACGGAGCGCTCGCGTCCGGCACCCGGCCGCGCCGCCTCACGGACCGTGTCCGATCCGCACCGGCAGCGCGCTATAATTGCACAGGTAATTATTTCATGAAAGAAATGCTTTCCCCGTACCTTGCGCCTGGGCTATGTAGGACTATCTTCGGACCTACAGACTACAGACTTCTACAGACCGACAGACGAATCAAAGATCTTAAACACTATAATTTTATAAAAAAGGCTTACAAATTAAGATACTTTTCATTTTCAAGGGTTAATTTTATAGTGTTTCGAAATCGGCATTTTGTAATATCAGCTACACATAAGGGAAAGGAAAGCAAGATGGAAGAGCGAACTTTGTGTGTGAGCTAATAAATAGTACTACACAAAGTTGGCTAAGTCTCTTATTTAATTTATTCTTAAAATTGTAATTAAATAGTGATAACAAATTTCTTATTAATAATAATTCTATTTTAGTAAAAAACGAGCTATAAATCGTTAAGTAAAACCCTGAGAAATTTTACAGGTTAAAAAGGTTAGAGGCAATTCAGAATATATAACACAAATTTAAGTTTCGCAATACATAAAATACATACTATCATTTTCTTGCTTACGTACTTATCTACAATACGATGGACATCGTAAGCATAAGCAGTGTCTGGAGCTGATTTTTCGTACTTTTCTTCAGGAAACCTTTCGCTTTTATTTTCAGTTTTCCTATCCCTTTATAATTTCTTTTGTTTTTACAGTAGGTTTCTTGTTCATTACAACACTTTCAGTTTGCCCTCAATTTAAAATTGCCATCTTGCCTGTACGCTGAAATTACATTTACATATCTATAACCTAATAAATATTTTGCTTTGTTTATTGTATCAATGTATACACTCGATTTATAACTACATATTTACTATCAAAGCAAAATAGTCTTATTTCTTAAAGTCTGATTTTTTTATTTTTTGCTATCCAATTAACACATACACGTACATTTTACTGACTGGTGCAATTCGGACTAAATATCATTTGTAAATCACACCCAGCTAGGTGTCTCCCTGTCAAATAAGAAGTTTCCATTTTGCCCTCCCTTCTATATTCAAGCATTGTATATTTTTAACCGACTTCAAAAAAGGAAGAGATTCTCAATTCGACTGTATCTTTTTTCTTGTTTGTTACCTCATAACTTTATACTGAGTGCACCGATTTTAATGATTCTTTCTTTATTTGAAAGCTAGTGCTTGCCGTGTGGTTAGGGTTACTACCCGTACTTTATAATAAAGTATTGTAGGTTATTTCAGACAATTGTACTCTGTACTCTATAAGAAAAATAAAGTACACGAAAATACTTTATGTCGTATGATTTGATTTGTTTGTGATTTTGAAACTTACTCGTAAGTATTTTTTCGTTAAACAAAATTTATCGATTCATGCTGAATAGATAAATAAAAAGAAAATGTATTTTTAAGTTTAGTAATAAAGAAAAATAAATAATACTTTATTTTGATTAAATTTACTTTGTTTTTGTACCTATAATAACTAATGTACTTTAATTGGGGAAAAAAAAAGGTGGCAACCCTACGTGTGGTCCCATTTATATTTGGTCCAGTTCTGGCAATGGATTATATGAGAAAACCATATAGGTCTTAAATTTGCATGAAGTATGCGTAATGTTTGTTACCCCCAAACTCAAAATATCACTAAAATAGTTTGACTGAAATTAAAACTTTAAACAATGGAACAGAATTCAAATTTGAAAAGTAAAAAATTATATGTACTTATCTTAAAAGCGGTTAATTTTTTTAAGAAACATTGAATTTGGGCGATTAATATTTAATTAACTACAGAAAACCTCAACCCAACTTCAATGTTTCGTAAAACCTTTAACCGCTTATTATTTTTCACATTTACAAGAGCCATCTTAAAAGCTGTTTGGAAATGTAACCGTTGATATGTTCACCCACTTTAAAATAGATTACTCCATCATCGAATTCCAATTTAAAGTCTCTGCCAGAAAAATCAAAATGCCATTACTTTTTTTAGTAACAGTATTCTGATCTACAAGTATATTATTATGATTCTGATACAATTTCCTAAACGCAATTACGACGAATGACAAAACACATGAGATCTCTCAAGTTCAAAGCGTACAGACATAATCAATATTTCACGCCAGCCAACTTAAGCTTTTTTTAATATTTCCTACTTCTGTGAGTGATTATACTATATTGTTTGTTAGCAAACCATAGAATAAAAACTTGATAATCAGTAACTTTAAATATGTACGAGTAGTTTATGTTAATTATTATATTTATCCTTAGATAAATCGGAACCTAAGCATCTTTTTCTATTGCAGATACCCGTAACCACATTATGCAAAAAAGAATGGCCTTGGAAGAAGCAAAAGACACCAATGAGAGTTGCGCCAATCGTACCTCGACGGCGGGACTCAGCCGCGTCATCAGTCGGTGCTGCATCAGTACGCCGGCTACTCACCAGACAACCTCCAAAAGTCCCAGAACCCGTAGTCCGAAGATTCACCCTCCTTTGTCTTTCAAGCGGACTTTGTGCGACAGCACTACTCCCTTTCACAGCTTTCGCTGGCGCAGAAGCTGGGGCCTTACCGCTAGCGCTAATGTACGCGGTCTCTGCCATTGTCGCACCATTTTCTCCTCTCATTCTTCAAAAGACTGGAGTACGAATAGTCATCGCTGCAGCACATACTTTAGTCTTCTTACTGCTAACAGCACATACAGTAGCCACTCCATTATCGGTGCTTCTGCCTCTTTACGGCATTTGTGGAGTAACTCTATCACCGATGTCACTCGCATTGTCAGTTTCGGCGACGTCACTCGCTCAGTGTGCTGGCGATGAGGTTCGGAGGAAAATTGCGCTGCGTCGAGCTCTGCGAGCGCTCAGAGCAGCGCAAGATTTGGGACTGGTGTTCGGCTCCATGATGTTAGGCGGTGCGCTCCTTCTCTGGCCTGAAGATTTAACACCGTTAGCTATGACGCCAACTCCTACTAATGCGTCTGTACCGAGGTGGCCACCCTCAGAAGAATTCTTCTTAGAAGACGACTATGAGGTGGTTAAAATACATATAAATGTAATAACTCTTGGATATACGTTTTTTAAAGACTCGAAAATGATATTCTCACAGATGACAATTCGCAAGGCCTAAAATTTAAATAATATAACATTACCTATACCCATGTTAATGCTGATCTTGTTTCTTCAAGGAGCGGACATGTGGCGCAGCAGGCTGTCCACACACTCAGTCAATATCAGGCACATCACTCAGTTCTGAAGGGCGGTGTTACCTTGTGGCAGTATGGGCGGTGTTATCACTAGTCGCGGTAGGGCTGGGGGTGTATGGTGCTACAACAGCACCTGTGCCGCCGCCTGACGCGCGCTCTACAGTGAGGGACCCGCGCGCGCTGTTGGGTGCACCGATGGGACTCTTTATTGGATTACAACAGGGATTTATTTATACTTCTTATATTAAGGTAAGTTAATAGGGTATTCATATTAAGGCGCCGTCTAATGACGCCTACTGTTTAAAATCTTGAGTAGTAAAAACCTATATTCTTATATTTACAGTCTTTATATACTCCCATTGTCGATCGATCACAGAATTACAGTTAAAACGCAAGCGTATAATTCTTGTGGTTTTTAGGCGGCTCTATCTTATCTATCGTATATCGTTTATATTCCTGGATATCAGCAATCGGTTCTATGCAAATCTACACTTGAGATATAATATATGAGTAATGTTTAGGTATTAAGCTATTTAAATGGTTATTTATTTATTTCCCTAGTGGTATGGTGTATGCGTCGGAGGATGGTGGTGCGCATGGGGAGTTTTAGTCGGAGCAGGAGCGCTTCAAGCGCTTGCCGCAGCCACGCTGAGTATGGCGGCCGCCAGAGGGAGGCGGGGCGCTCTTGCTGCGGGCGGTGCTGCAGCACATGCATCATTAATGCTAGCGCTGTTACGCTGGCGGGCTGCTAGAACTGATTTAGCGTTACCGGCTGTCGCCGCGGCTGCATGGGGAGCTTGCGCTGCTCTCTGGGACGTCCTTCAGGTAAATTATTCTATTTTTATAATATTTACTGGATGTTTTTTTTAATACTCTTTAACCTGAATAGATAAATGAAAAAAGATGTCTGTAGTATTATTATGTTATAAATGTTCTGTTTAGAATCGGTTGTCGTACACAGCGCTGTCATAGCATAGATGTTTGATCAAATAAAACCCTCAAAGGTAATAAAGGTTTTACTTCATTGTAGCTCTGTGACGTGACAACGCTGCAGTCGACGTCGAGTTCGAGGCTGTTTTTTAACAAAATAACATTGGCTGACGTGCCGTATCAGACTTTGAATGTAGCAGTACGTGTACGTGTGTGCAGTCGGGCGTGTGCGTGGGCGGGGCGGGGTGGCGCGGCGCGTGGGCGTGGCTGCTGGGCGCGCGGCACGCGGGGCTGGCGCTGGGCGCGGCGGCGCGCGCGCTGCTGTGCGTGCGCGCGCAGCTCGCCGCGCTGGCGGTGGCGCTGCCCGCCGCGCTGGCGGCACACGTCGCGCTCGAGCACAGGCTACGGAGAGGTCACTAATGGCACAGTTACCCTTTTTTTGTGAACGCAGTGTAAATCTTAATCTCGTGAATCTTCTGCTGGCCTATCTGATAAATCCCTGTTCGTTCGATTGCTGGCGATTGCTTTATCTATTCGGTCGTTGTTTTACAGACCGATTAAGTGCTCGCAGTGGTCGCTGATTCTCTGTATACGAACTCCGTCGAATAGTGTAACTCAGCCATAATGTCGCCATCTTTCGGCACAAGCCTCTGCTATGGATAAATTCACGGGAAAACAGGACATATTCCAACACGCGAGCTCAACGCGAATTGATTGGTGATAACGACTACAGATGTAGCAGGGACCGTCGGCTTAACGTGCACTCCGCGGAGTAAAGAGAATATGCTCTCTGTTTCAAACTAAATAGGTTCTTTTAGTAATAATGTTCAGTTATTAGGTAAAAGCACTAGTTAGCGACATAGCTGGATCTAGCCCTAAGTCGCAAAATAAGATTGGACTCTCAAATCAATGCGCATGGAACTCATGTTAAATTCGCCGTTCGCAACGACCTACAAAGTAGCCTGACCTGAAAACCTGCTTGCTCGTCACTTTTCTTTTTATTGAGCCAGAATAATCGCTCGCATAACTCAACAGCATGAATTCAATAAAAACAGTTGAAAAATAAACAGGTGAAGCTGGACGCCATAGATCCTAGCGAAGGGCAACGGCGACGCAGCTGGCGCCACTTGCGCCGCCCGACGCCGCTGACATAGCATGCCACGTCATCAGTTAGCATAACTCGCTACACAGGCGGGACATATACGATCGCCGATGACAATGGACTTTGTGTTTATACGCATAAGATACTTTCTCTTACAACTCTGAATACTCTGATGACAATGAATCTTGTGTTTAAACTCTAAAGATATTTTTTTCACAACTCGTTGCACAAGCGGGACTTTTGTGACCAATTGACCATCTATGACAATTAATGTAAACAAGCGAGTAAACTAGTAAGCTAGCGAGTTTTTAGTATGCGACTGCATGATGGTGAGTCATGCTAGTAATATTCTAGTAGTATAGTTTTATACGCATATGCTACTTTATACAACAATTAAATGCATAAGCGGGATCTATGCAAACATCAATGACAATGGACCTCATGTTTATAAATGCACAAAATATCATCTTTCATAATTCAAAGCACGAACGGGACCGATGCAACCATCAATGACAATGGAGTTTGTTTAACTGCACATGCGGGACTTATATGACCGCATACAACAATAGACTTTATTATCTATGGGATCTATGCAAACATCAATGACAATGGACCTCATGTTTATAAATGCACAAAATATCATCTTTCATAATTCAAAGCACGAACGGGACCGATGCAACCATCAATGACAATGGAGTTTGTTTAACTGCACATGCGGGACTTATATGACCGCATACAACAATAGACTTTATTATAGGTACTTATTGATACTAATTCTGTTAACATAAAGAAGACTTTATTTTGTTTTTATCGATAACAACAGGATTTTCACGTTTATCGACTTTGGTATAATTTAATATATTCATTTCACCTTTTTACAACATCCGACATATGTTCTGTAAACGATACATAATCATAAATTAATATTAAGTTATCTGTATAATTAGATAACGAGGTGTACTTATTTATATCAGAAATTAAGTAAGATATAGATACCTAGATATTAAACTTAAATGTGTTTAAAACAAAAAAGTTCAATGTAAAAAACGTGTCGTCGTTTATAATAAGTGTTCAATTAAATTGGTAGATTTTATACCTTATTTAGATCTTAAGCTTAAGATATTTAAATAGATTACTTGTTTAATGGAGACTATGCGTGTGAGTTTGCTAGAGGCGCTAGTGTAGCGTGAGGTCTTCGCAATGTCATCGTGTATGGCAATTGGGGGACTCGCATGGGTTTTTTTTCTATCAAATACCTATCTTGACTAAACAAGCATTATAAATTATTCACAATCTATAGAAATATTACAAAGAGGTAAAGTTACTGACTTCGTTTATTCGTAGGGGGTGGGGTAATCTTCGCAAATACTAATCTTCAATGCTATTGCTATTGCTATTGCTGTAAAAACCCAGGCCCTAATTTGAATTCACTCACATGTTTCATTAAGAATTATTCTCAGTACAGCATTGTGAATGCCAAATGTATCAATTTAAGTATCATTCATCTTAAAATGTCGGAATTCAGAGTCAGTGGATTAGAGTATTTAATATATTTCACGTTGTAAATACATAAAAGTCAGACGAGGGAAAAGAAGAGAGTGACATAAAAAACAATAAACAGTGTGTAAAATATCAATTCAAAAAAGGTATACTAAATGATGCCAGCGTCTGATTAATATAGTAAAAGGTTTTATCTACAATTCAAAAGTACTCACTAGTATTTTTGAATAAAGATTATTTTGACTTTGACATTGAAATTATATTGTGAATGCAGTAATCATTGATATTTGATTACTAATCAAATATCTTTAATAAGACCTCACGACCTCACTCAACAGTGGCTCCACTTGGCTGTTAGCGGTAGTCCTCATTACGTTATTTTAAGACTAATAGATGACTATTATAGGCAATCACAATGCTATACTGAAATATATTCTTAATGAAAAATGTTTAGAACTCCCATCTCAGGGTGCCGGGGACCAAGTGGATTTTTTTAACTTTTTTCATTAAGAATATGAATAGATAACGTTAGTTAGATCATTGGATGTTTTTAAAAAAGCATCGCTATAATTTTACACATATTTATGAATATGTTGAAAATAAATATACATATTGAAATAATTCCTTATTAACAAAATACACTGTCAGATGACACATTTTCGAACAGATGTTCGTACTTAAAAATTACACGTTTAGTTTTTAAGTTATAACTCAAATATGAGAAATTACTTAGTTGATTTAATATTTAATTTTATGTAGACACGGCTACACGTCAATTTGGTACAATAAGTAAACTACAATCTATTTAGAATAATAAGATTAACGATTAAAATGGATTGGATCAATATGGCCTTATGTAGCAATTTGACGTGATGCAGATTGTACTAGTGTACAAAATATTACTGTGAAAATATATTGAAATAAGATAAACGAAGTCATTTTCCGAGATCTTCAAAGAACTATAAATAATTATATATCTAATCTAAACTCTATCACTTATATTAAAATTACTTATCTTCAGCTGGAATATACCATGTCCAATGTGATGTGACTATAATTAAATTTTCAGACACCTTATTTATAAATCAATTAACCTGCCAAGGTACGAGTAATGGCCTCAACAGGCTCAGTAGGTTGCTCTTCTAAATATAATTGGTGGCTTTAACTTTAAACGTGAATTATATTTGAAAATCGTTATAAAAGTCATTGCAGTCAAATTTAAACTTATGTTACTATGAATAATATAATAATTTCTAATTATCTGTTTTGGAAAACTTGATGTGCAAAGATAAAAAATAAAAAAATAATAATTTGCTTAATTTAACCACCAAAAAACGAATCACGATCGATAGGGCACTTATCTGTAACCTAAATAGTTCAGCAAAGAATATTAATGTAACCAAGAATCTTATAAGAGATCGGGAATTTATTTTATTGTTTATTGCATATTAAACACAAAAGGCGGACTTAATGCCAAAGGCATTCTCTGCCAGTTTACCAGAAAAAGATGTTGAAGTCAGGATGTTAGGCGATAAGAATAAAACAAAACAAAAAAAAACAGTGGGCAAAAATTATTACATCTCAACAAATTAATAAAAGCATTATACATAATATCATATATACATAAAAATAGATTACAGAACACATATGAAGCCAGCTGTCAGAGTGAACGGAAGTTTGAAGAATAAGGTTGCTACTAGAGCGAAGATCACGTTGATGACTGGAACCAAGATATTGAAACCTAGACTACAAATATCCAGGGGTACATGGATCGTAAAGGATTTTGAAAAGCATACAGACAACTCGCAAGTTCCTGCGTTGGTGGATAGTTGACCAAACGAGTTGTTTCCTGTATTCAGAGATGTGATCGTATTAACGAGGGCCAAATCGCTCACTGAATAATACAGTGGCACAACTCAAAATCCATAATTTCGAAAAACGCTCTCCGAAGTTATTAAAATTTAATATATTTATAATTATGAAAATATTTTTTTTAGCATAACAGTTAAATCGTTTATATTATATTATTACTTTTAAGTTTTTTATTTTTTCTTTAAATTATTTATGGGATCCCACCGCAATGTTGAGGCGTTTTCTCGAAATAATGGTTTTTGAGTTGTGCCACTGTACTATTCAGTGAGCGAAATACTATAAACCGAATAGAGCTATTTAGCAAACAATCCAATTTGTTGAGAATCACGCTACTAAATAAGTTACTCAAATTAGCTGTATCATAAACTCATATCCTTACATTTATCGACATTAATAAATTTATGGCACTAAAGTATCTCTTAAACTAATACCTATCTAATTTTATGATATTTCTTAAAATATTTATTCTACCCCATATCTCTACACTTGCTAAACATATTTTTTCCTAACAAACCTGTGCGTGCCCTATATATATCAGTAAATTTGTAATTTAAATAAAATGTTGTTGAAAATGAATGTACTAGAAAGAAAAAATGTATTTGAGATAATTCAATAATAAACTTCATGTTGACCGATAGCTTGTTTGTCTTCCATTTTATCATATTCTTCTTCTTCTTTTTTAATTCATGGCCTATTTGCATTTACACAATTCCTTTTATCATATTATAAATAGATTTACATTGCGGGTAATGTCAGAATTATAAATTAACGTCAAAAAACCTGACGTCTGTTAATTATATTCATTGGAATTTTAATACATGCTATTAAATCAATGACGAAGTATTTAAAAAAAGGAAAGCACTAAAGCACCTTCACTAGATGGCGACTCTAGGAAAAGTTGATTTCTACAGGAAACAAATGGACCAAAGATAGTCATTTCCGTTCCTTTGAACTAACATATTAAAAAATTGAAATATGCAAAGTCCGAAACTTAGATATCAATGCAAATATGAAAAATTACAAATAGAATATGAGTTGTTTATTGAAATTTGAAAACTAATTTATTTTTATACATGAAAGAAAACCGGAAGGGTTGTCATGGAGAAATCAAGAAAGTACCGTAGCGACATCTATTTTGATTTCGGGAACTAAAGCTTTTTTTTAATACTTCCTCATTAAAGAAGAGCTCGGTGGTGTAGTTGTTGGCGTGTTCGGCAGTAAAGTAACATTCATAAGCTCCGGTTGTAGGATGGAAAACCAAAAATCATGCTCCTCCATATTATGATATCATGCACTCCAGCATAAGGGGCAAACTGATGATGACACAGGTTACTAAAATTTGTTCAATAAATAAATCAATACTGCATAATAAAAATTAACAAATGTTTTGTCATAATCGTTCTGTTAACAAGATATCAGAGCTCATTTTTTATGATCTAAGCCTCTGTAATCTGATAATTGCCTACCTAATATCTGATAATTTCTAAGTGCTTGAAATTAGTAATTTCCTTTTTTATCACATAACTTCTAATAACTTCTAAGTGATTAAAATTTGATATTTTAGTAGGTATTTATTTATTTAAATATACTACTGCTCGCTGATAATATAGCTTTATTTTAGTATTACACTAAATTAAAGTCCGCTCCAATTATTTAGGCAATCTACTATCTAAAATACATTCATTAGAAAAACCACTTAAGGAATTCAATAGTTTATTAAGGGCCCTCGTAGCCCACAAGTTTGTCCATTACAACAAACACTTCATTAAAGATAAGATCTAACTACTTAATACTTTTATAATTCCAACACGGGGATAGTTATCAATACTAATATTATAAAAAGGAAAGGTTTGTTTGTTTTGCATAGAATATGGTCAGTATCTACTGGACCGATTTTAAAACTCCTTTCACCTTCGGAAAGCACCATCATAGACTGACATGGCTATAATTTACTTGGGCGAAGTTACGAGAAACCAGCTAGTTCATAATATGCTGATAATTATAATAAAACTCGGTATCAACGTTAACGTTTATTTTCAGAATACCTAATTCTAGGCCCAAATTCATAGTCTTGTGCTTGCTTACTCGTTTGTGGGTTTTAATCTATTTTCTACTTTTTTTTTCACTTACATTTTATAAGTCTTTTACACAAAGAGTTTACACCTTTACTTTATTAAACCCCAGCTTATAAAGGTTTAAACGCATATTAAAGTAGGGTCTACGCAAGCAAGCCGACATGGAAAAGGGCTATGTCAACCATAATATGACACGATAGCAAATCCACATTTATATAATTATCAACACACATCGAATACATTATTGTCTGATATACATAATATTGTTTCTTCAACAATTTATGAGTTTTATTTATGTGCAAGTGCCTTAATTATTTAGATTTTTAATTGAATCCAATTTATTACAAATGAAATTATTACATTTTATCAATATTGCATTCAAAATGCTATAATGACAACTGAAATATCTATCAAGAAAAATGCTTAAGAATACGTTATGGGTTCGAATCCCATCTGATATATTTGGGACTGGTGAATTTTCAAGCATTTCCCTATAAAACTCTGTTGTTATTTAGGTGCTTATTTATAGTAGTGATAATTTTTTCAATAGTCTTCTCATTCCAATGCCAACTAAACATCAAAATAAAATAATCAAAGGAATATAAATAAAAGAAAAGAATGAAAACGAACTTGTCTTTATTCAAAGTCTATTCGTAAAATAATCTAAAAATATACAAGAATTAACCAGCGAAAATAAGATATAAATAAATTATAACAAAAAAAAATACATCGCTTATAAATGAAAATAGGTCTTACCGATTCAAACTAGATCCAGATTATAATAATATTAACAACGGCCATTTATTGTTATTCTGACATAATTATCCAGTGTACACATAAAAAATGCTAGCAATTCTGAAAAACTAGTAAACCTTAGATTATGTTTGAATATTAAATTATGTCAATTTCAAGTTCAATTATCTAAAATAAAAATTATTTTACAAAATATACGTAACTACAAAATATTTAGCTATCACGGAGCTTTCAATTTTGATTATAATTTAGCTGAAGTGTCAGAATTGCTACCATTACTTAGGACCTAGAAAAAAGCAATTAAATGCAAAAGTTAATTGAAAAGTTCGATTATTCCAGATTTATTTATTAATAATTTAGCTCCATTCAACTTTATAAAATGGAACTTACAAAATGATTCAATATCATATGCAGTAATAGAAAAAAATTTCAGGACTGAATAAATAAAATTCTGGCATTACTCTAGTTAATAATGTAATTAACGTAACTAACTCAATTTATTCAGGAACATCAAACTATAGCTAAATGACGAGACAGAACGATAATTTATTCATTAGAATCCTTCCACTCATAATAAACTTGAACGCTATATTGACAGTTACTGTGATAATAATAGAAAAATAAACAATTATAACAAAAAAAAATACCTTTCTTAAATAATAGTCAAAAAATCTTAATCTGATGTGTCATCTAACTATAGTTTCCGATAACCTTTAGGAACAGACCGTATTTGAACTTTCAATATCTAACGCCAGGTGTAATTGTATGGCATTTTAAAGAATGTCACACACAAAATAAAAGCATTTATACGTGCAATTTGCCAAGTTCCATACTAGTACAATACATGTCTAGTGTGTTATTAAAATCGTTTCCATACCTTAAGAATTATACCTTGATGATAATTTATTAAGTTGTAAATGTTTATACACTATTTAAAGTAACAAAATATTGTGACTGAACCCTAAGTTTTGATTATGTTGATGCAGATGGGAATCTGAAATTATGAGGGCTCATATCCGCAGAGGCAGATGTAAATGCGGACCTTTAGATGTTTTTTTTTAACATTTTTAATGGTGTTATAATAAATAGGTACCTATATAGTTAGTATATTTTTGAAAATTCCGCAACATCTTCACCATGGAGACAAATTCTAGTTTTGCTTAGAAACGCTTAAAGCGAAACAATCTTTGATCATAAACATATATGCTACTAAATACTGATGCATATTTGCCAAATTGCTCATAAAATACTCGACTAGAGATGAGTACTTTTATAGAACTCAATAATATTGAAATCACGTTAGAATTTTATTTCTAGGCGTTACCAACACGTACATAATCAAAATCACTTTGGCATTATACTGAAAATGCAACAAACATTTCTCAACCTTATACGGTGTGTCATAAGGTCGTCGACACTACGCTAAAGTCACGTCTCGACATAAATGATTCAAACAACATAGCTACAAAATCAAGCATGCCAGACTCCACATTGTAAGTACTTTAAATACATCATTCAGATTCAATTGAGATTTTATTAAAAATGCGTTTTTATAAGAAATTGTAAAATTCGCTAAAAAAAAATTATCAATAACAACAAACAGTCTAGGCGTATTGATCCGATTCAACAATCCAACAAACGCTACACTATACCCACTAATTTCATAATAGTTCTTACTACTGACTCGACCAGCCTTCTTCCATCTAACTCCTCTATAAGACTATCAATTGGATTATTGTCCAAAAATAATATTTACGATTAAGACATTCATTTAACATTTTTCTGCATTTTAAATTTACATCAACGACATATATTGATAGAAAGATTACCACATATTGTAATATCAAACGCGTGTAATACAGAAAAACCCTGTCCTATTATATTCGATTTATTGTTATTGTATATGGACGAAAAAAAAGAATATCTCACTACAACAATATCAAATTTAACACCTACTTATTGTAAACAGCGATCTATTTTGAAACTACACAAATAAGCGTTGAACAAATTATAAATACATTATAATTATAAAACAATAATGAAGCATTCTAACAGTTAATCCACCAATAAACCCTGTATAATTTATTCCTGTGTAAATCATATTGTTCGTTAATCCCCGACCAATTTTAGCAAATATATAATAGATAATATCTGTTCCGTGTTTGGGAAAGTGATTTATCCGCTGAATTATTTCATCGGAATGATAAAATTGGTCCCTCGCGGGGAATTATATAATTTTCATCCGATCTATTATAAAGGGGAGATACATTTATAATTTCCCCGTCGGTAAAGTAGGTATTTGCCTTGATCCAGATTTTAAGGGGATATAAACAAAATTTAATCGTATATGGCTTATTTATACAAGTGCAATAGATGGACTAAATGTTATTCTCTGTCACACTCAAACGTTTCTTTTCTCGTAGGCGCCCTATAAGTTGTATCTTTAAGAAATTGCAGTAAGATAATATTATATGCATTCAATCACTCGTATAACAATTGCACAAAAAGAAACCTAATACCCTCATTCGTAAAACATTCAGTTTAAATGACATCTACGTTTTATCTATGATAAAAAAAATTAAATAGATTTCCATGTCCCACTGAAATGAAGACCGAAGATAATATCATATTTGTTAGACCCGTTATTAAACAAAACATTTTACATATCGACTTTATAGCAGGTGGATGATGTTATAACATTATGTATTGAGGTTATTATAAAGTCAATTCATAGCCTTGCAAATACACAGCCAGATATATAACATAATAACAAGATAATAGTACCTACAGATAGTTTTGAGGTATAATTATCATAAGTATACTTATACTATCGAAGAATTAAATTATATCATTCAAAATCGATAATTATGATTATGAAATCAATAGTCTTTTTATGATTAATCATGATCAGTCTCCGATAGATGCAATCTATAGTTAATATCATTACCAATATCTTATTGATAGACCAAGTACAGTCCAATAAGGCATTATAGATATTATATAATTATTTAAACTTACTGCTTTTAAAAAGCTGCAGTTTATGTAAGCAACTGTCAACGCGTAGCAAATCTCAAAGAATTATTTCTTTGTAGTATAAACTACTTATACATTTTCAATCGCTTCTCTATTTATAGATAATACAGGTTAGACATCATCTATGTAACCGAATGTTCCAGAACGAGGGAAACAGATATGCAATTACACATTACTTCAAAGTTATCACACATTTTCAACATTCTTACAAAGTAGCCTTATAATCGTGCCTGCTCGACTCGGTCCGCACTAGAATTGACTGGCAACGCAAATTGGACTCTAAACATTGCTCATTAAAGTTCAACTTACACTGGCGTGTAATTGCCCGACGGTTTGTAGAACATATTGCCGGTGACGACGCGACGTATTATCTCCTTCAGAATTAATCCTTTCTCTTTCTTTATCTTGGCGAGGAAACCGCGGTTTTCGTTCGCACGTCTAGACAGATATGGCAGTACTTCTACTACTGGCCCATAAGGTACATATTTGTACGCCGAGTAGCCAGCTTGGCCTGGAAATTAAAAATATTCATAAATATTTACAGTTAGTACGCGACAAGATTAGTAAAATGTCAACATGGCTGTATCTATCTCTTTAAATATATAGAAGGAGGTTTTATTAAATGTTCCCCTTTTGGCAATAATTATTCTATAAGTTCCATAATTTACTTAGGAGGAGGGGGTTCGTCAAAACTCACGAAATATCACAAGGGGGAGGGGGGGGTGTAGTAATATATCACGTGTATTTATTTATTTTACGCACGATTACTAAACCGAAAAGCGGAGTCAAAAATTAATATTTTTTTGTAGCCAAAAAAAAAATTCTGTCTGGATTAAACCTCATCATATATCACCAAGGGGAAGGGAGGTTCAAAAATGCTGAAAAAAAAATCACGTTTGAAACCATCAAAAACATAAAAAAACTTGTCTGTGATCACAACACAACCCAAACTCTGTTTATTTGTTAACGGTACTGACTGTTGAATGCAATTACGTCACCAAAATGGCGGCCTTGCGCATTTATAGGGATTTATAGGAATTATCATCAGCCTATTAATAACTCCTCTGCATAGGTCAGGTCTGATGGAATCAATCAAACTAGGAGAAGGGTAATATATAGATATAACTCACTATTCGGTGTGAATATATAGGCGCTAAAGACTGCAAATGCAGCAGGAACTAACGGCTTAACATTCTCTCTGAAGCAGGAAAAGCTCGAGGTAATAAATTTTTGGTCACCCATCCTATGAACAGGCCATTGCGAGAGTTGTTTAACTTTTTCATCGCAAGCCTAATATCCTAACTTCTGAACTATCGAGTTCCTCCTTTTTAATAGACGTCCTATGCTGAATCGGAAAGCGGCCAGCTTTTCTTGTGTCTCTCCGTAAGGAAAGCATGTTCCCCAGAATCAGAGGTTATGATGATAGAGGATATTGTATGCTCACCTAGTGGGAAGGTGATGTGATCGCACATGCCGAGTAGCTGTCCGAAGCAGACGACCTTATCCTCTGGTCTAATGTTATGCTCCTTCATGAGCTTTATCGCGTACCGCACCGTGTCCTCATTGTGCGACGCCACCATTATGCCGATGCCAATCTTGGACGACTGCGAGAGATTGCAATTTATTTTTAATATGTTAGTTAAAAAGAACGGAAATGACTATCTTTGGTCCATTCATTTCATGCAAAAATCAACTTTTGCTAGAGTCGCCATCTTTTTAGTGCTTTCTTTTTTTTAAATACTTCTTCATTGGTATTAAGTAAATATCTGAGACACGTATAATCAATAAATTTTGTTTTGTATTTTATATAAAGCAAATGGAATCAATAGAATTTCTTAATGAAATAAGTCACCAAAGTGCACAAAACCCAAAACATAAATCGCTATGAACATAGAGATACTGATTTTGAGTTTTAAAATCATAGGATTATCTTATTATCTTGAAACTAAAAGTCGAGGTTTTTTGTCTGTGTCTCACGTGATTTGAAACACAATCCGCTATTGTGTGACGTCACTGTGGCGATTAATCACTATCAGATTAATCATAAAGATTATGTAGTCTATTGTTTATAAATCAAATTCATAGATTCTTAGGTTATGTACCTTCATCTTTTTATTTCGTAATCGATCGTTAGATGGCACTGTTTTGTTTTAATGACATTTAATCTTTTGCATATAACAATGACGTCATCAATTTCGCGGGTATAAAACAAGTTTCAATTTTGATTTAATTTTAAAGCAAAAAACGCGTTTATTATTCCGAAATATTTGTCTCATATAATTTGGTATTATTTCAAACAGATTAGAATACCCTATTCGGACACATGAGCGAATTCGAATTCGGGTTAGTATTAATACGGAATCGCTCTGCAGATTGTATAAGACGAGTATAAACGCGATAGAATACCGTTATATAATAACCGTGACGTAATACCCGTCTTATACCATCTAATATAACGCAATGCGAAAGTTTAAAAGTTTATATCGCTCTGCAGTTCGCGAACGTTTAGACTTAGAGCGATGTGGAGTGGCGCGTGGGTGGTATCGCTTTACCTTGACCCTGCCGAGTACTTCAGCGAGGCACTTGTGGAAGGAGGCGGTGGTGGCGTCCACGCTCTCGCACGTCGGGTCCTCGTAGCCCATGGCGGCCGCGCGGGCGCGCTCCTGCGGACAGAAGACCACAGAATTTAGTAACAACTAGTTCTAACCTCCGTAGCTTAGCGTGGTTTCAAGGTGTCGCCCACTCTGAGGTCCCCGGTTCGATTTGCGGTCTAGGTGTTGTGGTACCTACCTTCGTTGTCTCAGATACTAAATAATAGGGATGGCGACTAATTTTTATTTCTTTGATCGTCAGATAAGAGTGTTGAACAATATTAGACACGTATTTTTTTCGACATAATTAAATTACAGTGATACATTGAGTTAAAATGTCTCATGACGTCACGCTTGTGTACATTTTCTACAATATTGTGACGTAGCGAGCCCCCACCGCTCAACTGTAATGGCTGTTATCTAAGCTGTTTCTTGTTAAAATGAAATAAATAAATACGTATCTAATATTTTTCTATTATATGACTGATGGACTAAATAGAATTTCTGTTTTTACTCAGTCGTCATCTACTCATCTTGAAATCTGAGCGATGTATGTGATGTTGTCCTATATTTACTTAATTGGAGAAAACGCGTTCTATCTTAAAACTGGTTTTAACTGCAACGTATCCATTGATATAATTTTATACCTACATATATCACGATTTTCGTGATTTTTATAACTACTACTACCTTTATTTAATACATTTAAGGCTTATAATGAAAATGGCTTATATCTATCTTTCTCCTTCCTTCAAAAATACCTACTTAGTCAAGAGTACATTTGACATCAGTCTAATTAAAATTTAACAAAATAAATAGAATAACTGTAACTGGTTACACAAACCTCCACTAAAATTATCATTTGTTTAAAGCGTTATATATTTAGCACAAATGTTGAGATTGAAATCGTCATTAAACTTTAATGAACGTTTGTACAAATGCCCAATAGACTTATGCTTAAACATGCTTATGACTTCCTCGGCACCAAAAACCGTTTTCAACCCCGAGGGGTGGGTATCGACCACCTTGGGAGTCTCTGGTCCAAAACTATCTACAACTATAGAGTCGTCACCTGTTCTATGTATGCGCCGCGCACTAATTTCGCCCCCCAGAAGAAGTTCTGCCGCGCGGCTTGCTCCAGGTCAGTGACTATCTCGTTGTAGGTATTCTTCAGATACGTTTGATGAGTGTTGAATACTAGGTACTTATCCTAAAAATATATATAAATGTCATGTGAGTAAGTCGATGGCATAGTGGATAAGAGCCGCGATTAGGTTAAGCAATTTTCACAAGGGTCGCTCACGGGATGGGTGACATAAAATTACTATCTCGAGCTATTCCGTGCTTTGGAAGGCACGTTAAGCCGTAGGTCTCGGCTACATTTGCAGTCGTTAATAGCCTCCAATCGGCATTAGGCCAGCGTGCAGGTTTATGGCCCATGCTCCATAACCATCCGTAAGGAAGGCCTGTGCACTTGCAGTGGGTAAAACGGCTGATGATGATGATGATAAATGTCACATGCATTTGTTATACACCCAAACCAGTACTAATATAGCAAAGTTTATCCTTATTGACACGGCCGGGAATTAAAACCTAATATAAGAAATACTACGTGAAAACTTCTTTTATTATGTCACATATTATTGAGGAGAATTGAAAATTGCAACGATTCAATCACTAACAATTGATCAATCGTTTATTTATTGCGTAAAATATAATAAATCGCGGCCGTTGAACAGAGAGAATTTAGTACAATGACCCGGCACTACACATCTTTTTCACCCGTGCGCAATCATATTGCTGTTGCGCTCGCACAGATACATCTAGCCAATTTTGCCATAGGGGAGTGAACCTAAACTGTTAACGATATCTATCAGTGGGAAGAGAGCTCGATGTTTACAATTATTTCTGTTCGGCGACTGTGCTATATGCAAAAACAAAAGCTATACAGATGTTATTTCTAGTTTTTCACATTAATAATAAAGGTGTAATCATTTAAATTTATAACCACTCACTTTGTTATATCTCCTCATCATTTCAACGCATATACGTGATATAGCAGGCTGGAAGTATGTCTGCTCGGCGTCAATCATTATCCTTACGTCTTTCTCATTTGCAACCTGCGACAGAGTTTATTAATTTACATTCGTCGCCTTAATTAAAAAGCCGGCATTTTATTTAAAAATTCAGTCAATTCGTATAAGAAGAACATTTTATTTCTAGACCCTTAAAACGTATAATAATATTTTATTTATCTAGACTATGGTACAGCATATTAATATAAATATAATAATTGATAAGAGACTGCTTCGGAAAGATAGAAAATAGTCCCTTATTACTAAAAGGTTACGAACCACTGATATAAATGGAATGATAAACAGACCGACAGTTTCCCCCTTTTACGGTACGGAACACTAAAAATATGCATTCACTAACCTGAATGATGTGATTAAGGCGTCTCAACATGTTCCGGAACATCTCCTCTTCCTTGGGTGATATCTGTGATATGAGACGTCGCATCTGACCGGTCTTCGGGTCAGGCACGCGGAACGTGTCGGACAGACCCATGTCCTCGTCCAGGATCATAGACCACGGAAACAGATGGACTATTCTGTAAATAAATAATAAACTTCTTTATTTCGATTAAAATTACATTAATATTAATAAGATCCTACGGTACACAAAAGTTATATTTTTATTGATATAAACAAGTGTTTTTCAAAATGGGCATAAATACCCACTTTAGGGCGCTAGAAGTTCACAAGTTAAGACAGTAAAAGGTCTTAAGTGTCACAAGTTAGCTAGATTTTAGGAAATTTCAGTTTTTAAATAGCCACTTAAATATTTCGTTTCATTATTATTCGTTTTACAGTTGGGATTTTATTTAAAACAGATGAATTATAGTATCCTATAGTATGGCTACTCAAGTGTGGATTATTTGCACGATTTTAAGGGATCCGACAGAAAAAAAAAATTTTTTTGTAAACGGAACTTCAGAGGCGCAACTTAATAGCGAAAGAGCAGCATCGGGCACGCGAATCACAGGTTGCCGACCCCTGTTTTAGAGTTAAAATTTATCCTAAAAGTGGGCAGTAAAAGGAAATAAAACTAGAACCTCTGGATTACATTTCATACTCTTCGCAGGTTGCATGGGGTATGGTCATCAGATAATTTAAATATAATAAATAATAATTTACGCATATCACATAGATTCCAAACTAAGAAATAAAGCACCTATTTACGTAAGAAAATTGTATGTCACGTGCTTCTATGAGGAAAAAATATTTTAGTCATATCATCATCAAATTATCAATGAGGAAAATATGTCAATGAAATACTAATTTTTTTTCGTTTTATATCAAGTCATCTCATATATATGGTATGTATCCGGAAAACATACCCCCACTTCGTTGAGTATGCGAAGCCGGAAAAATTGCTGATCTGATTATTTATTTAGTTATTGAGAGAGCACAGATATCACTGGATCGATTATAGTTTCTGATAATGGTCCTTTATCGCATTGGCTTAAGTAAAGAAAGAAATGTTTGTTATTTTCATGCTAAGGGAGAGACTTCTGGTGAAAAGAACAAAGACAAAAGGCAACTACCTTTTCAAACAAAAAAATGATAGTAGAAAACTAAATTAATATAAGGTGGATGCGCCAGTCCCACACCAGGAACCAGTAGTGTACCATCTAAATCATCAAAGATAAGAAAGGTTTTTTGTATTTCTGCATTTCTTTACGTTTGATAGCATTGATGTATTTCTACTAACTAGGTGATCATATCTAAAAGCGATATACATGCCATCTAAAATCTGTTCTACCTTAGGCACACTGCGACTTGCCACATTTTTTCTGATAAAAATAAACGTAATAGCAACTAGGAAAACTTGTATTAGTTACATGATAATATGGTAAATGATAAGTAAGTAGTATAATTTTTTCGCAATAGTTGTTGCAATAATCGAGTCAAATTATCAAAATACTTTCAAAAAATTGCTTAATGGTTTACTACTGGTGCACCAACCCTACAGCGGTAAAGTAGATGCGTGACATGACTCACCCCTCCTTGTCCGAGGTGATCTTCTTCATGAAGTCCTGCACCTCCGGCTTCGAGGTGTTCTCGCCGAAGTACCGCTGCAGGTCCTCGATGGTCTTGTGGTGAGTGAGCACGTTGCCGGTGCCGCCCGCTATCTGCTGCATGTAGCTGCGAGCGCGCATTATCACCTCGGACAGTTGGAGCTGTAACCATACAATCAGTGCCGAATTACCCTCTAAGCCAGTGTTTTCCAAACATTGTTCTGCCATGTCCCGGCAATTTCCACAATGCCCACTTAATTTTAAACCCAACCTGAAAAAGATTTAATATTATTTGGTCTTTGATCAATTCCCTTTCTTTGGTATCGCTTATTTAACTGCCAATTTTATTGCCAAATATGAGGTTGCTGTTTATTTTTTACTAAAGAATCAACTAAAGGCTTTACTTTACTTTAAATTGTGTTAACTGTTTAATTACATATAAATTGCAGAAAAAGATTTGAGGTACTTGTCCAAAAAAATGAAATAAACAATGTTATGGATGTTTATAAAATTGTAAAGTCCGTAGCGGCCTCGAAAAGTTTCAAATATCATTGTTTAAATGTAGAAAAAGAATCTTATAATAAATCAAAAAACTTCAACAATAGCTTTAAATTAACTATTAATTTCTCATATTTTTATTTTGTACCAGAATAATTATTACTTCTTAAGCACAAGTTATCCTATTTCTTAAAAACGATAAATATAAGTGCAAAATTACTATAAAATGCGATGCACTGGCCGTCAATTGTCAATTTTTTCGACCGTGTAGCGAATTTGTTTGTATTTGTAATTTCTTGTATCTATTTCTTTTAAAAACTAACAAACCTAATTGAAACAAATACAAATAAACTTACCAATAACTGTGGCCTTCCCAACGCGGTAAGTTTCACTGCCATAAGGCCCGTACTTTTAGTAATACCTGAAATAATTATCCATTATTTCAATATTATGTAAAGTGTTCCAGAGTCAAACAATTAGATAGCCAATGATAATAATCTCTCATCTCATCAAATTTAATAAATCATAGAAATTTAAACAATATAAAAGACTTGTTATTGTCGGTTTTTGAACGTTCTGTGTTTTAAGACTATTTGACGCTGACTTATAATCACAGACTTAGCAATAAAAGAAGGAGATACAAAATTGTTGAACCCATCACAGTTAAAACAACATTTGCAAAAAGACAGTATCCTAGACAATCATCCCACTTATATAATATGATAAACAATCATCTAAAAATCTACTCACTCACAGATCGTGATTGCAAAAAAGACACTCACCGAGTGGCTAATGGAGGTAAGTTACACCTCTATTGAAACCTTGATACACGATAACTGTGAGTATACATGCACGCCTAATCCAATCACGAACACACGACGCACGCACGCACGCACGCACGCACGCACGCACGCACGCACGCACGCACGCACGCACGCACACACCACAGAGAGAGAAAGATTCACACACTTTAAAAATTAAAATTGAAATGTTTGTAATCTCTTTATTTTATTCTTTTTTTTATTAAGCGATTTTTGTTTTGTAATGATATAAATATGTAACTATTTACCTAAAATGAAATGTTGGTACAATTTTTAATATATGGAAACTTTTTTAATTATTTATTTTATTTTTATTAATTTATATTCTAAAGAGGATAGATTTCATTGGCTTTTTACATCGAAACTAACTGGATTAATTTAAAAATTCTCTCATCCACGGGAACTATACGGGGGTGATATAGGATTTAACACATTATAGGAACGGGTAAACAACTTGTCTATACTAATATTATAAAGAAGAAAGATTTGACTGTTTGTCTGCAAAGAAAGGCTCCGAAACTATTGGACCAATTATTAAATTCTTTCACCTACAAGTAGCTACATCATACAGGTCAAAATCTTTCTTCAAATAGACTTCTTAAAAGTACTTTTGAATAGTACAATATTTTTTTCCCTACCACACGTTCAGTACGTCTTTTGGCTGTTAAGAAGAACGAACAATAAACTTTCCAGCAACAGGAGTAATGAATGACATTCACAAAAACAATGTCATTACCAAATACATTATAAAGAAAATATACATTAGAGAGATTATATATACATTATAGAGAAAAAAAAAATAGAGTTGACATAAGCTATAATTTACACGTACCCCGCCATGTATACGAATATAGCATATATTACGAATATCATATGCCTATGACAAGATTTAATTTCCTTGTCTCACTAATTTTCCTACTAGTACCTACTGGAAGCAATTTCATTGCTCATTATTTCAAATTGCAACAATCTAGTCAGAGATAACACAAGCGTTCTATTTCTAGTAGATTTTATTGAACTTTTAATGCCGTGAAAGCGCTGTGTTCGACTTTGTATTTGTAATAGTAAATTAATGCTGTAGATACGTACACCCAGTAAAAAAAATATGGAATAACTTTACACATATAATCCTAAACATATAAAACAGACGAATTAAGAACGTCCTACTATTTACGTAGTCAGCTAAAAACATTATATTGAAGCTCCATGTTTGTGTTAATATTGAGGCGACCTTAACACTTAACACTCAAGAGAGACCCACCACAAAACAAAAATATTACATTACTTCAAAACGCCTTAGCAACCAGTTGCACAAACTTACATTACAGATTAAAGTTTTCATTAAACCTTAATAGACGTTTGCGCAACTAAAGCCCGTTTTCATAAAACTTAGCAGTCGCCCTGTAAATCTGTCGCCTTAATATTTAAGAGTAGCTTTAGGTTAAAAACGCATTTCACCATTTACTAGAAACCACCTAACGAAAATAAACAATTCCTAAAGTAATGACATTCTTGATGCGGCGCCTTGCGCAAGGCATTTGTGAACATAACAGGTCATAAATATGTTAAGGGATAAAAGAAAAAATATTTATTTGCAATTAAACTAATTTGCTCGAACGATTAGGCGTTTCCTAGTTAAGCTATGCCTTGTTCTAAGTTAGTAAAACGGGTGTAAGTGACATCATCATCATCAGTTTATTAACCTTTAAGTACCGACGTGCGGTCTGAGAGGCCCTAACAGGCACTTGACTCGCTACTTTACCCCTTTCCCCACCAAATTCCGATCCCTGCTTTTAAGTAGCTGCAAGAACAGTGCCCACTTTGACATTGAAACAGGAAGGCGTAAAGTCGCACGCGCATTTGGTGAGTAATTACGATTTGAAATTCCGACGCGGTCTCTCAGACCTCACGTCGGTACTTACGTAAGTTTTTTATTTTATTCTTTTTTATAATAAACTATTATTTTTACAGATAGTGTAAATTATGGATAGACCAGGAACTTCAGGTAGTAATAGAAATAGTTCTGCGACAGATTTACATCACTCAAAGAGACCTCGGATAAGTATAAATGCATCTAATCCAAATTATGCGCGAGTAATTGAGAGCTGGATCACGAATGAAGATTCCAGCGGATCTGAGGTTGACGACGTTGGCGAAGATTTTTGTCCAAAGCACAATGACCATGACACGGATACCAGCACTGATATTTCTGATACAGAAGAAACTCAACCTGAACAACTGGACGCGCCATCATCGTCATCAGATGAAGATGTTCCTCTCTCAAGGCTGGGATGTTTTAGACGAAAGAACAAATATAAGTGGTCTAAATCGCCTCCAAATAGATCATCTGTTAGAACACCACAACATAATATTATTTCCCTATATCCAATTTGACCGAAAATGATGGAAAGGATCCTTATTCTTTGTGGAAACAATATATAAATGACGAGATGTTATCGGAGATTTTGCTAAGAACCAATGAGAAGCTGGCTGAATATAGATGTAAATATAGGAAGCAAGATCGCTCAGAGCTAAAAGATACCGATATGATTGAGTTGCACGCTTTTATTGGCCTATTGATGTACACAAAAGCACATTTGTTTACAGTGCGCGAAACAAGTGTGCCCTGACTGTGCTTAGAATTTAAGATGTAGTTCGACTGCGGACATTTTTTTTTAGAGAAGTTTTATGTTCCTATTATATTTTTTTTCTTAAAGTTATATTAGTCTTAAGTAAGAAATACAAGTTTTTGTTATTCTAAGAAAAGTATTTTTTGTGTTATGATTTTTTATAGCTATTAGTTGGATTTTCCCCCAAAATTCAAGCCGAATATGATTCCAGTGTTAAATTTTAAAATATAATAAAGATCGTTGTCTTTCTTTACTTATTTTTTCTTTGAAACCTTTATTTTCTATCATATTGCAGAGACAAATATTTAAATCAAAACTTTCTTTAAAAAACAATACATAATATAAGCGGCCTCTCAGGCCTCACGTCGGTACTAACGTTACAAAAAATGCACGTCGGTGCTTAAAGGTTAACGTCCCCACTGCTGGGGCTCAGGCCTTCCCTGTGGATGGACTCAAATCGAATAGGGAGAATGAGCCATGACCCACTACGCGGGCCCAGTGCGGATTGATGAGTGTTAACGGCTGCAGAACGCAGATGCCGCCGAGACCAACGGGTTAAGCCGTTCCTTTACCGTTACCTTCTGAAGCACGGAGGATCTCGAGATGATAAATTGTCGGTAACTTTAAAAATTGTCGGTAACGGTACTTAAAAACAGTATCGCAGACCGAGCGCACTAACCACTGCGCACATCGAGTTCCCGAGTATAAATCTAATAAAATGTTAATGTTCTTTATACTGGGAGGAACAAAATGACCGACACAGCCGAAAGTTTCAAGTTAGGTTACATGCAAACGTTTATTTTATTTGACAAATATTTAAAAATAGAGGAGGTGTAAAAATGGAGTAAAAATTTTAAATTTCTAAGTGTTAACAGCCCTATAACGCGCATACGCAATATCGATTGTGTGCAAATTACAACGAACCGCGAAATACATTCATTTAATTATTTACCGATATCTTAATGATAGTCGATGCTGAAAATGTCCACTTCCTCTCTGAAGACTAAGCTAAGCACGCTCTTTTCAATGCCGGTGCATGCACGCGCAAAACACATCACAATTCACACAAAACTAAACACAATCTTCACTAAACTAAACTTAACACTCAAGACGAAAACTCTAGTATCTTATTAGCAAAAATTCAATTAAAAATGCACTAGAACAAAACAAAAATCGACAAAAAAGACGCTTCGCAGCGGTGCGTCGGCGGCGATGCGCAACAACACTCCAGCGCAAAAGGTCGACGGCGACTGATCGGCCGGAAAATATCGACAGAATAATGAAGCCGCCTGGCGGCTGGCGGGCGGGTGGGGCTTTGATATCGAGGGACGAACTCGGTTCACATTATTTTGTCGTCTTTTGATATCACGCATTTTTTAATGTTCTTTTTAAATGCTATTTTAATAACAAATGTCCTCAATGATTGTGTAAAACAAACTTCATTTGTGTTAATGATGAATCGCTGGAAGATTTGTGAGTTTATCGAGTTTAATTAACGATCCCGTTGTTAAAGGAGTATTACCCCATTCAAACACTTTTTTTTGGAGAATTGCTCTTTTAAAATAACGTAGGTTAATGTTAGGCTGATCTCTCTACAATAATTTAGGAAATTTAACACTCGGTTTCTTAATTGAGAATTTAAAGTTAAACGTCTCAAACTAACATCACTTAGTATTCGTATCCGATTTTAGTTTTTTGATGATCAATTGATAGCAGTTTGATAAAACTAGAACTATTTGACTTGTGAAATTAAAAAAACCTAGGTTATTGAGAATAAGCAGTAGAATTTTTTTACTTTTTTCAAATCAGAAACCGGCTGTTAGTCTGTAAATCGATTTAAGCATTTTGACTGCCTTGTTTATTGATTGTCTGGTAGAATTTGCATGAAAGCAATCTTATAAACCACAAACTAGTTTATTTCGTTTTTAGAAATGAAGAAGTCATTGACCGATTTAAAACTTTTCCTTAGTACGTCCCAAAAACAGCTGACTCAGGGTTGAACACACTCATTTTTTTTCAAAAACTTTGTAATTTGATATCTCCGAAACTATTTAACCTAGACTTATAATTTTTTTACATCATATTACAGACAAATAGTACTCTCCAGGAACCTCGGGAGTGTCGGTCGTTCTGTTCCACCCAGTATGTATAAAAAACTATAAAAAACTGTAATTTAATATCTCCGAAACTATTTGACCTAGACTTATAATTTTTTTACATCATATTAAAGACAAATACTACTCTCCAGGAACCTCGGGAGTGTCGGTCGTTCTGTTCCACCCAGTATGTATAAAAAACTAACCGGCCACAGCGTCTATGCTCTTGAGGAACGCCTCCGCGTTCTTCTCGCAGGCGGCCTCGTTCAGGTAGAAGTAGGTCCTCGCGCTGGTCACCTTGTACCTCCTGTCCGCGAACCGCTGCTCCACATGGTATTGCTTCAGGTGGCCCTCTTCTTTGTTGTCGCCGTACGTGGAAACTGATGCACTGCAATTTTGTATTTTTCAATTAATCATCTACGTACTTTTACATTATGCATATTTATAAAGGCCAGTCTGTATGACAAATAATTTTTAATTAATTACTACCAAACCATTATAGTTTTTATGAACGATTGTAAATTGAATACCTCTGGGTAATTTGCAGCTTTTTTCTCACGAACCTGACTAAAATATTTTGCGATTGGTTGACATACTTTTGAAACTTTAAAAATAAAAGTGAAACTCGCGCGCAAACTAATAAATAGGCTTGTGCTCTACAAGTTAAAATACAGGTTTCTGATATATGATCGGAAAATATGAACCATTTTGACTCAAAATATTGAAGAAAATGAATTTTATGATGCTCATTTGGATAATATTACGCTTTGAAAACTTGTAAAAAGTAGGGAAAATATATTACCAAAATTTGCTAAAATTCATATGGCATTAAATGATTTACATAAAACGTAACTACTTTCATTATGGCAGCTATAAACATAAACGCACACATAACCAAGTTATTACAAAGATTGCCCAGACGCCCACACGTTTTTCGCCACCGCAGCACCGTGTGACGTCACTTAATGCATTGAATTTGTAGGGAGCGTTTACGGTCGACTAGCGACAGTTCCACAAACTTAGCACCGTATCTCCGAAATTATTAATGGCGAACATGCTGTTACTTTTACATTATTTCTCAGATATTAATGGAATATTTATTTATAAAATAAAATAAAAAAAAAAGTTGACAACTGGCCTATTCTGTAATCTATTATTCTTATATTATATATGATTCAGTTAACTAATTACTAAATAACAATACATAGACAAGAGTTACGCTAAAAATCACGAATTAATTCTCTCACCGTCAAAAAAACATAAAATTCATATTCGTCACTCGTTTCAGGGGCTAGTAGGAAGCTATTGAATTTTAGCTCAAGATTTAGGCCACCTAGATTTGTGTCAGCGCAACGTTTTGGCACATAGCTTTATAGTTTGTCTATTTCTAGTTCATATTTAACAACAGCTTATAGGATAAAACTTACTGAAACAGTTTGCGTCGATTGGATACCTTCATAGAAAATTACAAGTTACTAGTTTTATTGTTGTTATGAAAAATATTGTATTATGGTAAACTGTTAAAAAATCAAGATTGATGTGGATTGGTATGATAATACTTATCTCAAAAGCGACTTATTCAAGAAAATGCTTTTCGGGTTGATGTTTTCTGTAGGTTATTTATTAATTAAATGATAGGCGCCAGACTGCAATAGCATTTTCTTGAATAAAGTCGTTTTTGACATAAGTATTATTTTCACTTCATTTAAAAATGAAGCCGGTTCTATTTAAAAAAAAAATCATTATTTTAAGTGATGTTGATATTTTTAATAATTATCATCATCATCATCCCAGCTCTTTTACGTCCCCACTGCAGGGGCTCAGGCCTTCCTTATGGATGGTTAAGGAGGATAAGCCATGACCCTCTACGCTGGCCCAATGCGGATTGGAGGATATTAACGACTGCAAAATGCAGCCGGGACCAACGACTTAACGTGCCTTCCGAAGCACGGAGTAGCTCGAGATAATAATTTTTTGTCACCCATCCCGTGACCGACCCTTACGAAAGTTGCTTAACGATTACGAACGCGGGCCGCGGCGCATATCCACTACGCCACCAAGCTACTCTCTCTCGGTCGTTACATAATAAAAGTAAAGTCGTTTTTGAGATAAGTATTATTTTCACTTCATTAAAAAATGGAGCCGGTTCTATTTAAAAAAAAATCATTATTTTAAGTGATGTTGATATTTTAAATAATAATAGGTAAAAATTGAAAATACTAAACCGTGTTAAAATCCAAATAATAACCTTAATAGCGTTAATATAACCTTCCTATAACCTAAAACCTCCTGGGTCGGATAAATACTATACTGAAAACCACATCAAAATCGTTCAGCCAAACGCGAGACAATCGCGCACAAACATATATACATACAGCTTAAACTGAGAACTTTCTTTTTTTGAAGTCTGTTAAAAAGCTTTTTCTTTGTCATTCTGCAAAAATACAGAGTTGAATACACCGCTGTCACAACATTAGAGGTTTACAGCCAGTATATAAACTTAGAAAGTACAAAATCCCAACTGATCATTCTCAATAACTTAAGTTTTGTCGTTCCATGGGACAAACAGTCGTAGTTTTATAAAACTGATATCACCTGAAATATGACATAGAAAACCTGTTCAAGTGACGTTTAAGTCCGGTTTGAGAAGTTCTTAAATTCTCATTGCTGAAACCGGGTGTTAATCAAATAATAACATTTATTACCTTTTGAAGTAGGATTTATTTGATTGAACCTCTAATGCTGTTCAGCGTATTCAACGCTGCATTCTTACAGAATGCCCCTGCTGAGAAATTTAAGTGTTAATTTAAATGTATGTGACATTTTCAGAAGCCGGAACAAGTCAACATTTAAATATACTGACCGTGTGATCATTTAAATGGGGTTCGCATTAGTTGCACAGACGACATTATGTACCGATTCAAATAGAACATTAGTTTAAGCTTAAAATCGGTATTAAACCATGAAGTTTGTACAACTGACCTTTTATGGGTGAAAAAGTATAAAAAAAAATCTTGTCTATTGGCACATTACACACATATTGGATTTTGAAAAATACTTAAAGTACTGATCATTAGAAAATCCGGAATACTTATCACTAACCGCTTCTTACGTTCTTTGTTTTGTTATAGATCGTGTAGTTTTTCTGTCCGTATCACGTTACAGACAGAAAACTATACTTGCAAAATGTTTATTATTTTAATCATTTTATCATCAGCCTTTTTACGACTCTACTTGCACGGGCTACGATGGCCTTCTTATGGATGGTTAAGCCATGACCCTCCATGCAGGTCCAATGCGGATTGGAGGGTAGTAGCTTTTTATTCATTCATTTACCCAAAATTTACCCACTTATTCATTCTTCAAAAGCTATTTATACCTTACTGATCTAGCCGGCTTGTTTGCGTAAACCTACTTTAATTTTGTATGTTGTATGAAACCCATACAAATGAGTACCTACGCGTTCTCGGAATATAATTTCCTCGTTACTATGCATTGTTTCGTCTCCGGGCCGCGTGACGTCAGTCAATATTCATTGTGGTTGATGAAAAGTGTGACGTTATTCGTTCATCTCAGCGTGGGTTTCATACAACAGATAAGTATTGGCAAAAATCTAAATGGCCACTATCTTGATATAAATCAATTCCATGATAAATCAATCCCAAGGGTTTATAGTAGACATGTCTTTGTGTTATTTTTTTGTAAATTTCCAAGACATTCATTGAACTTACGTCTTAAATACTAATTAATAATTAAGTTTCACTTATTAAAGTACTTGTCATCGTCATCACCAGCCCTAATCCACGCAGCTGAAGCACAAGCCTATGGATGGAATAGAATCGAATAGAACAGAGTGAATGAGCCATGGCCCACAACGCGGTCCCTGTGCGTATTGGTGGTGTTAATGCTTGCAAATGTCGCGGGGATCTTTCGAAGCTCTGAGGTACTCAAGATAATAATTTTCTGGTTAAGTATTGAAAACCGAACGACCGGCAACACTGCACCATCGAGCTCTTTAAAATACATATACAATCAAAGGCACACGAAAATAGTTTACCCATTAGATCACTAATGGAACACATTTAAGTGATTAATTTCTGTCAATTCGGAGGTATAGAGTTACATATTATTAAATTTGTTTTCTCATAATCTTTAGGTAAATTATCAATTAGTGCTTTGCTTTATTAATTGGTTTGTTGCCTAATTGATTTCAAGTAATTCAGAAAAAAAATTCATTATTCAGCTCGTACGTCTCTTTGGCTGAAATACCACGATTTCTTGGTCTAAAAAAAATACGTTCATTTACTATAAGAAGCCGTATAGCAACAGAATCTCGACATTGAACTTGCACGACATAGTACTAGACCAATAACGGTCACGTGGACAGAGAAAATTACAAAACCAAGGCTGTTTGACCAAATGACGAAATCACTAGTTTGTGGCTAAATAGTAAATCTATTAACGAGAGGATATGAAATATCTTTAAATAAATCATTTACACTGATTTGTTTTAGTCATTTTTTTTTGCACTTCTACTATCTTTAACCGCCGTACGTTTTGCTTCCTAAGTTCACTTTGGTACACTGATAGAGAATGCCCTCGGTATTTAAGTCCGCTTTTGCTGTTCTATATAAAAAAAGACTAAATAAATAATATTTTAAATGGGAAAGTGTTCTCGTTATGCAGTTTTTTGGGTACTTGAAAGGCTGAAAAGTTACGCAGGCTACTTTTTAGAGCAAAAATCTCTTAATTATTTCCCTATCACGATGCCGCGAGTCAGCTAGTCAATTTGATATAATGATTTGCTATATAAAAACCCCCATAAAGGTTTATACATAAAAAGTTTATAAACAAGTTATACAATTAAAAAGTTATCAAGCAACGATACTAGCTCTAATATAAAAAAAAATAGAAGCGTTTCCAACTTTTTAAAATCTATTCTATGAACTGATTCAAAATAATAATAATTTAAAGTGAAACGTTACAGCACACCACGGAATGAATTGTGTTGATATCTTTCATCGTCAATATTCAATGTTAGATCTTCTAATTGAAAATGTCCTTATTGTTTTATAGAAGTTTATAGGAGTATTTCTTAAGCTATGATCCGCTGCCCCTAGGGCCGCCAGTAAATGTTTTCAATTTCAAAACCCTACCAGCAGTGTAAACTGTTCCAAGAACCTGTGAAAGTCGATAAGTCAGCTCCAAATCTACGAGAGAACAAGTACTGAGAACAGATAACAAACTCAGCAAGGACTGCATTTTTCTTCCTACTTTTGTCTTTCAAGTAATACTTATATATATATCCATAACGGTATTTTTCAATCAGATAATGAAAGTGACTACAAAGGTGAAATAAAACTAATCTATATAAATACGATTTGTAAA